ATCTCCAAAAGACAGTCCGTTCTAAACTTTCATTGCAAGAAACATCAGAAAGTTCAGATTAATCCATCAAATATTTTGACTAAAAACGTACCCTACGTGCAGAGTCTAGTTAAACTACACGACGAAGCTCTCTTTTAAGAAGTGAATCCAAAGGGTACTTAACACATGTAGACAAGATTTAAATTGCTTACCTAAAATTCTTCCAGCATGCCCAGACTCTTTCATTCAAAGAAAAACATCCCTGCAAGTTTTAAATCAAATCGACAAAATTGACATGTAAATATCCCCCAGCATTGATCAGTTGATCTTCAGAGTGAATGCTTGGAGAACTCCCAAATATCTGGACCGAAAATAGCTTTTTTATCACCCATGAACATACTGTTCTCCCACTAATATTTGACGCTGTTATATTTCGCTAATTTTTATTTTTTTTTAAATTTCCCTGCTTTTAATCTCCGCGGATTTGTCATACAGGATCACCCTTTCGGGGTCCGCGCATTATACCGAAAGCCAGTATACCGACCCGCATTGTACCGAAAGGCGTTATACCGAATGCCATAATTATACCGACGCACATTGCAGTATGTTGTAAAGTTTTCCTGCGTGTACCCTTTGAGACAATGCAAGTGCAACTTAATTGAGACAAATTAGCGATCGAACACATATTTAAAGTTTATTTGGAGTAAAATATTAGACATTTTTATAAGTTTTGATACATGATATCCATTAATTAGAATTGACGGAAATGCTTACAAACGAGAGAACATGTATTTTGAGAGAACGCAACCTGTCATCAGAGATAGAAAAGCCGCCCATTCGTTTGTCTAATTGTCCGTCTGTATTTATTCGGAAAACAACTCAATAGTTTAAAGGAATACGCCTAATGGCCATAGGACGTCGGATTTAGAACAATCTTCGAAAATGGAAGCCAATTAAAAAAAGTTGCATACATTTATTCCGTGTTGTCTACCCTTTAATTCAAGGATCCCTTCTCGAAGGGTAGAAAAACGGGATAAAAAATGTAAAAAGAAAATACAGTAAATTGAACTGAAATTAAATGTAATGCATTAAGTAATAGATGATAAAATATTTTCACGAACTGACAATATCACGTACATTTTTATGATTTGAAATACCTAGCCAACATATACAACGCTCAACGCACCATTGGAAAGATTATCTTGTTTTCTTTTTTCTCCTTAATTTCTAACAGAAGTGAATCAACTATTACGCATTGAATTTTATTAATAGATGACAAAACATTTTTTGCTGACTGACAATATAACATATGATTTGAAATAGCGAGCCACATGTACAAACCATTGGAACGCTTGTTTAGTGTTCTTTAATCTCCAACCAAAACCAAATCGAATCAGGTGTTCAGGGACTGGGAAATTAAGTGTTACGCACAGAACTTTAATAATAAATCACGAAATATCTTCGCAAGATATCAACAATTACGTATATCTTAATGTCCATGATATGAAATACATTGTATTCTTAAATCTTTTTGATCCAAACTTACTGCATAAATAAGTGGCACTTTTTTGCAGACGTACATTAATGGGTTTCGGTATATACGCGTCGGTATAATGAGGTGATGCCGATCCGCCTGCCAATGTCAATACTCATAGCTTGCAGTTGAAGGTTCTTTCTATTTGTTGGACTATTACACTAGCGCGCTAAGACGTCTCAGCTAAAACGTTTTAGCGTTAAAACGTTTTACAAATGTAATGTAAATCCAGATTTACTCAAGAGCTCTCGGCTAAGAGCGCTTAGCTAAAACGTTTTAAGACCCTAGTCATAGCCAAGACGTATTAGCGTGAAAACGTTTTACGAAGTAAGTGTAAACCCATCGGTTTTAGCTAAGAGCTCTTAGCCCGGTTTTTTGCGTTGCGCCGAACGAAACATTTGAAACTTTCCATTTACATATGTCGCAATGCATGGTCCTTTATTTTGTCTTATCCCTTGTTCCCAATATCATCCAAAAATTATTGAGAAGAACTTATTTGCCTGGCGATTTAGCCTATCATAATCCTAATTTATGCATAAAATCTTCCTGCTCTCTTTCATGCTTTTAACAATGCTGTCTTTAGGACATATCTTTCTTAAACCGATGCATTCTTTAGTACAAAGTCGGGTACAAAGTATAGAAGCGGGAAAGGAATAGCTATATTGACTGAACCGTCCTTCAACCAGTACTGAACTGTTTTTTTTTCATTTTACATGTATACCTACACTAAGACGCTTTAGGAAAACAGGTGTAAACTCGAATAATTCCTAAGACGTCTTGAAAATGGTAATGTAAAATCAACTTAATTTTTCTAAAACGTTTTAGCCAAAACGTGTTGAAATGCTGCGCGTAGTGTAAATTGGGCTACTGAGTCCTGGCCCGTAGCCAGGATTTGCCAAGGGGGTCACACTTTTTGAAAAATTCCAGGGGGGTTCACTTGTGACAATTCTGATCCAAAAATGGCCAAAATCACTTAAAAAGTGCTCACTGAATGGTGAAAAACTGCATGATTTTGAAAGATTTTATGGCCAGGGGGGTTCCTGGCTACGGGCATGGAGTCTCTCAGCCCCATGAACGAAATCCCCGGGGATTTGGCTCAAAAAGGGAGTGGGGTCAGAGTGATCCCCCGCGGATGCCCATGCTTATGTTATTGATATATCAAAGTGTGATTCAAACTTATATAATCAAATGAGTCTAGTTATGACGGCATCGTTCGGCGAGCTCGGAATCCCCGGGAATAAATGAATTAGAAACCAAGGAAACACCGAACGAACTGCTTCAAGATATGCACTGAACGAACAGCTTACGGCTCTGTGAAAAAATAAACAAATTTAAAAATATAGGTAGATTAATGGAATTTACAGCGTTCTGGTAAATCTAGGTAAATAAACAATGAATCATATTCATTCACATATTTTTGATCATTCTTTAGACATTGGAATCGATACTCAGAGGTTGATATTGATGCCAATATATATTATGGACGATTTGTTTGATTTTTCTCAGAATTTTATTTGAATTTTTTTATGAACATTGAGTCCATTTCACTGTTTAACTGCGTCAGTAAAAGCTAAAAAATAAGAAATTAAAATATCATTTTGCAATAATGTATGGAAAAATATATTCCTTTTGTACACGAATGACATTTGTATATCTTGGATTGCTTCTAGTTTGGCTTATAAAGTGTGTGGCCTCTTTTATTTGGATGCTTCTCTGCCATGTTAGTTTCAATAAGATTAACATGGCTGAAATTCTTCAAATTACAAGACGGCACAGGCTTATTGCACAAAAAATAAAAAATCTGAAATATACAAATGTCATTCATGAACATTATGAATATACTTTTCCATATATTATTGCACAATGGTCTCCCAATTTCTTATTTTTGCCGTTCTACTGACGCAATGAAGCAGTGAAATGGACTCAAGTCTAGTTTGCTCTGCGTGCAAAGTCTAGTAATAACCTACCCTCTGGCTAGTAAATACTGTATTGCCATATAGAAAGTCGTCTGTATTTCCATATATTGGCTATATGGGGACGACGGACGTCGTGCCGCTAAAATGGGTCACTTTTTGGCCGAAAAATGTGACCTAGATGTGGGTCCCATTTTGAAGAAAAAACTACATATGGGTCCTATTTTGATGAAAAAATCCGTAGAACTGGGTCTACTTTTTGAAAAATACTCAAACTGGTTGTGTTTTTGAAAAAATTACCTGAAGTGGATCTTGTTTTTTAAAAATAACCTTGAACAAGTGGGTCTATTTTTGAAAGAAAAAACCGTAGGTGTGGGTCCATTTTTTGAGAAAAAAATCTCTAGATGTGGGTAGATATTTTGAGTCTCAGCGGCACCCCCCTGTACAAAAATTTGACCAGTACCCCCCCCCCCCCCCAGCGGTAAACATCACTCCAAAAATCTCCATAAAATATGGGATACAATAGGCCTAAGGCAGTGACTCCATATTCCATTGTACTTTCACATTGTACAAATATTATCTGTTGGTCCATTGTTATTTTATTTCTTTATTAGGGATAGAAACAAATAGTCAAATACTCAAGACCAAATAGATGTCTGATGTAAAATTTTAATGGCAAAATATTATGCATGTATTTATGGTTGGCTTGGGAGGCACTATCCTGCCATCAATTGAAATATTTCTGGAAGTACATGTATGGAAGCTGTATGCGTATCATCTGTCAACTCTCTTTCAAAAGAAAAATGGCGCTGAGCTAAAACTGAACTTATTGTACAATTTCAAAGAGACAACTGAATCAGTCACAGAATTTATGATAGGGGATGGCACATGACTCATGTGACATGAGCCACCCTGTCAGCCATCATCTCAGATTCGAACCCTCTATGCCAGGGGTAAACCAGGACTTTATCCCCCCAGGAAATATTGTCCAAGTTTGTATTGACACCTTCCAACTGTGTAGGTTCATGTCAGCATTTGGTAACCATTATCCAAGTTTGAGGAGCATCATTTCATTATCCATCATCTGTTTACTCATTTCATTTTCCTGTTACCTATCAACTCAGTTTTTCATACCTGTCTCATCCAATCAAATACTTAGCGTCAGTCCATTCGTTAATCAAATCACAACATTTTTTAAATTGACCAATCACAACCTTTGGTAATTTCTGGATATTTTGAGTTGATGATCCTGAATCGGGTTGAGGTTTGAATCTGGTTTACCTAGGGAATGCTTGAGGTTGAACAGGGATTAGCTGGCCAACGACTGTACATTATGAGCAGTTAGTATTTGTGATATCCTATTATAATATTATAATTGTTGCTTATCATTTAGGTTCTTATGAGTGGTATAATTCATTCTGAATACATGTACATGTTCTTTTGTCTTCAACCAATACAGTTTATCAATAAATAAGTGAGTTTTAATATTGGTTGAAGTAAGTCTTTTAATGTGGTACAAAATATATTTGGAAAACATTGATTTTCTTTTTATTATTTATGTTGTGGTCACTTTCAGCACAGTTGTCAGAGAGCATAACTATGGACTTCACAATACATGGCAGTCAAAGTGCAAGGACAGCCAGACCAGCGAGTGGAAGACCAAGGAGTAGTCGCAATCCAATTACAGTACGTCAATTATTTTGATCCCATTTTTATTACTATTAACAATAAGCCCTATATTAACATTCAAAAAATAAATGATATCATTAGTTCATGTAAGAGCCAATATTGAAACTATATTGCAAAAATGTCACTTATAGATACATAGTTAAATTCAAAGCCATTTTCTATTTTGGAGATCTTTTCTTTGTAATTGTTTATATTCATTGGCGCTTTATGAATTTGTCAGACAAAACATTTTTAATTGAGAATTAACTTGGTTTTAAGCTGATATTAATTGTATATAACAAATTATGTCCACCATTTTGACTAGTTTGAAAGCACATGATGAGACTAACCCCAGCTTAGCTTCACCCTGCTGTGTGCATTGATACACCTTATACATATGTGTTATTTTTCGTTCTTGATTATTGTTTATTAGGGAGAAGAAGTATCATACTCCAGTCCTGAGCCGTCCCCAAGGGTCGCTAGGCAACCAGAGCCTAGAGAAGACATTCCTAGTGGAGCACACAGCCGTCCTTTTAGCAGGCCTGAACAGTAAGATCATACCAAATCATTGAAAATTGTGTTGAGAATTCAATAAACATTCAACACAAAATTGTATACGTGTATATGAATCATGTGGATCGTGTTCAGTCTTTGACTTCTTATATATATTGGCACTTATTAGATTGGTCTGAAAGATGTATTCCCAATTTTCTAAGCACCCCGGGCCCTGATTACAGAGAATACGGTGCTTTTAATTCAGTTTGATTTCATTGCTCGAGGAAGAGGAACTGGAATTATATTTGCAATTCATCAATTCAACATTATTAACAAAGTTGATCAAAAAAAGATTAATCAGAATATATTAAGGATCATATATTAGAGGTGTCACACTGACTTGGGTCGGAAGGCTTAAGTCGTGTCATGAACAACTACTTACCAATTTTGGGTCGGGTCAGAACACTCAGGAATATCATTAGTTATCATAAAATTCTTTATATTTATATTTTTGTCCTGCCATTTTCTTGAATACATATAAATTACGAATTTCAGTTTCTATCATTTCCCTTTATCAAAGTATAATATGCAATAATGCAGGCGTAAACAGCAAGTCAAATTCTTTTTTCTTCTGACCCGACTTACACTTTTTTCCTGCCCGACCTGACCCGAAATATATCTGACCCATGACACCCAAATATGTATGTATATGTAAGCAATTCATAACCTACCAATGGTACAGGAAAGACAGATCAAATTATAAACTTGCAATTTTAAACAATTTGCTTCACGTACCCCTTAATGTTTTATTGTTTTGTGTTCTGTATAATAGTATATGTAATGAAAATATACATCCTTTAATGTTTCAGTGTACCTGCTTTGAATCTTGGAAGGTTAAAAGATGATGAATATTTTGTTGAGGGATCCTACAGGCATGCTTACAACATCAACACACCAAATACGGCCTCCACTATCAGGTATGAAATAAAAACAAAGCAAATTAGTTTTGTTTTAAATCCTCGTGGTTGGGGTATAGAGATTTTATTGGAGACTTATATCCAGTAGGTTAGTCTTGCTTCAAGACCCCCCCCCCTCCCCCTACTTCAACAACTGTTGTTGTTTTAAAACCAATAAGTTAGGAGATATGCATTCAGAATACATGTGTTTACAAAATGAAGTAAAAACATTTGATTTTTGGAATATTGTTACATTGACACAGTCAGTACTATCTTTATTATATCTATAATATAGCTGAATGCAAGTCAAGGAATTAAAAGTCATACATTTTAAAAAATTATTGGAATAAATGTATTTTCATCTTCTAGCTTTTGTAATATTAAATAGTATTTTCTCTGATTGACAGTTCCAGGTCATGTGACTAAAAGCAGTAATTCATTTATTGATTTACATGTTCTTATGTTCTAGTTGGGGCACCCCTGCATCTACTGAGAGAGAGCAGTATTACCAACAACAACCTTCTCATAGAAAACCTAACAGACTGAAGCAGAATCAACAGGTACTGAACAGTTTGGGAAAGCTGAACAGTCTGTTTTGTCGTTAATTTCACAGGCAATGGAACAGAAAAGAAATTGCCCCCCCATACTCTATGTACCAAGTAAATAATAATATTTACTTGATACATAGAGTGTGGGGGGTTAATTTGTTCTGATGCTTGTGGTTAAAATACATAATTTACTACATTATCACCTAAATATGGATTGTTAATATTTATGGTTTTATGTCACATACTACTAGTTATCCAATATTAATGATATATCCATACATTCTAGGTTGACATAAAGATGGCAGAAAGATGGATATAGACAGTCCACTGCTGTCATCTATCTGTGAACTTAGTGACTATGAATATTTCCATAGGCTAGTATACTGTCTAAAGTGGTTAAAATCAACAAAGATGATTGAAAGCTTGTTGACTTTATTTGTAGCCTACAGCCTGGGATAAAGACCCAGTCCCCGAGGACCTCCCTGCTCCCTCACAAAGACACAAGGACCAGTATAAGCAATACCAAGATGATATAAAGCAGTCTTATAGGAATAAGAATGCCATGGGAGATTCTGAGGTAAACTTGAAGAGCTGTCTTTTAGGTGTAGAAAATGTGTAAATGGACATTTGGAGGCAGGGTGATAAGCCCAGAGCCCTCTGGCCAGTATGTGTCAATATATTTTTTCAGGATGCAATAATTATAACAATATGAAAAAGTCTAGCAATTTTGAATATGAAAATAAGAATATAAGATGGAAGTCTACAGGTGGGTAAAGGAATAGGAGAGCCTATGTCAAAATCAGGTCAAATTGGGGCAAATCGGTGGCATCAAGCAGAGAGGCTTCTCCTTTGGAAAACAATGTGATGTAGTTAATGGGCCTACCTTATTGTAGACACCAGTACATAACTTATTTCTTATATGCCAGCATGTTTTATGTAGCACTAATAAGTGATCTATAGTTCTCGTAAAACTTGTGAAAATATTAACATTCGGTCAAATAATTTAACTCAGATATCACTGCATGGTATGTTGGCAAGTTGAAACTAGAAGTGATTTATTTAGCCATTATAAAAAATCCAAATGTCCAATGTATGCATTAGTTCAATCTTTTGTGAGTATTAATATAGATGGCATACATGTACACATTAATGGGCCAGTACTCCACTCTGTACTTTATGAGTATAAATCTATACATACTGTATCTACTTTTGAAAATTCACTAAAATTTATTTGTAATGAAATTTTATGAGACTTGTTGCATATTTACCTGTAAGACTTACACTTTTTTATTTGATGAGATAGTTGAATTTTGTGTACACTTCTCAACTAGAACTGTCAACAAGATCATATGGTCTTGTTGCATGTCAATGGAGTTACATTACTCCAATTGAAAACACATGAACTGATGAATTAAGAAATAGATTAACTTGAGTCATTTTTCCGTATCCAAGAATGATAAACTAGCGCTACCAAAACTACAATTACCATTTATTTATTGATTAATATATGCATACATAGCATTAACCCTCTTAAAATCAATTTATTCACATAAATTTCAAATCATAGGCAGAAATTACAAGAAAGATTGAGGAGTTAAAGTTGAAGATCCCACAAGATGCTGGAGATTCTGTAGAAGATGAAGCAATGCAGAAGCAATGGGCACCCAAGGATGATAGCAAACTACAAGCCCTCAAGAAAATGGACAAGGTAGACTACTACAGTTCTTACAAAGATATTTTTATGAATTTTATTGCACTTCGAAAAAGCTAGTGCTTTATTGTTGTCATCTTAGGTTGATGGGTGTGTGGGTGCACTTTCGTTTTTGCGCTTAATTGTTTCTGCGTGCGAGCGCTTTCTTGGAAAATTAGATAAGTTGTAAAAAGAAATATATTCAGTCTATTTCAAAGAATCTTTCTTTTTTCAGGTAACATGAATTTCATCTATGTCTAGATCTCCAAGTATAATGGATTTTACATGTCAACGCTGACAAGATTGTTCTATTCATGCCCTTCCTTAATGCCAAGTTGGTCCCTCAATCTCCACATGTATGAAATGTATTAATACAAATCAATTGTAATGAAATCTGTGTTGGTAAAAATGAATATATGCCATTGCTTTTTTGCAGGAGGGATTGGAATTAGAAAAAATGAAACTGAACCTGGTGGAGACTGTAATGATAGACCAGCTGTCAAGGTATTTTTAGCTTATATTATGTCACTACCAGAAGTGGTGACATATTGTTATACATAGTCTCCAACTTTTTTGTGGGCAGTGTTCAGCAGGTGGTGTTTGGTGGCAGGTGGTTGGTATCTGTAACAAATGGCAGGTGGTGACATTTTGCATGTTAATGCTTTGTATTTTAATTGTTACATTCTCATCACTGTTTCAAATTCACATGCATTCCATTTTGTTTGACATTCATTGAGGTTGTTCACCAGGAGGGTTTTCATATCACTTGAAAAGTAAGAACATTTATTGATAAAGTCTAACAATTATTGTTTCTCATTTATATTAAGAATATCATATATTTGAAGCAGAATGTATTAATTAAGAGAATCGAAAAACTGTTGCCCCCAATTTCAATGATGACCTTTGCTTCTACAAAGATATTTACTTCTGTGTGTTATTTTGCAGATATTAGCACTTTTTGAAATATACTTCAGACTTAAATAAAGAGAAATGGGACGGTTACTCAGCCAATCTTTAAAAGCACTGTATGGCACCGTTTTGGAAATGATACTGTACAGTACAGTAGACTAAACACTGTACAGCACCATACATAAAAGATACTGTATACCATACTCTTAATGTACCATATGGTACCATGATTTCAGAGTGCAGAATGGGGGTGTACGATAACCATAGCTTATATTTAATGCTTTGTGTTTTGAACCCTTCAGACCTGTTATGAGTGACCCTGACCAAGGAATGAAGTCATATAGAGTAGCAATGTCGCATGTGCCAGGTATGCAGAGAGGGGCAATAAGAACACTGCATGATTCAAAGTGAGTTGTTTTTGATATAGTCACTCAAGAGTGAGTCTTGATATATTATCTACATATTACCTCACATATACCATATATGGTAGTATTTAGTGTATTTTTAGTGAAGCAATAGAGATTGAGTGCATTTAACAATTAAATGAAATATTTGCAAGCTGTCATTTATAATTTTATAATGTCACCACCACAAAGTGGTGACATATTGGTATAGTGTCCAACCTTTTTGTGGATGGTGTTTGGTGTTGAGCATCGAGCATCTGTAAAAAATGGCAGGTGGTGATATTTGCATGTCAATATATGCCTTGTATATGGCTTGCCTTAATTAAGGTCATTCAACGCAAACATGTGTTCTGTCTTTTACTGCAGGGTACAAACCACGGGAACTGCAACTGAAAACCTATTGTCAAAGAAAGTGAGGTTCGGAGCAAGGATCCTAACAAGGTATACAATATACAATTATACAGGGTGTCAAATAAATATGTTCTCCCCCCTTAATTTCAAAAATATGAACTTAAGAATTCAAGTTATATCTGGATACTATAAAGCAAAATTGTAGGATAAAGTTAAATGTTTAAACCTGAGCAGAATTAAGAAAAATGTAATAGTTATGACATGATGCAAATTCCATGTTAACTCCATAAAGTCTACAATTAGAACACACATTCTTTGTAAAGTATAAAGAGACTTTATGACACCCTGTATATGATTTATTTTCTTTAGGAATGGTCATGATGCCCTGAGAGATCTTACTGGTTTCTTCTTTGCCTTAGACAACACTCTGACGATATATGAATTCAGACAGTTTGGAAAAAGGTAATGGGTTAGTAGTTAGTTGTAATATATTTGGTATTGTAAAATAGGCAGATGCTTTCAAGGCAAATATGAATTGAATGGGAGGGATTTATGTTACTTAGCTAAATATGAGAATATAAGTGAGTGGAGACTTAAAACCTATTAGGTCAGTTAAGACCTTGTTGGGCCAAGCTTTGAAGGGCTGAAGGTTCACTTTAACATTTCTGTATATTTTCAGTGCCAAGGCATTGCCATTTATAGCAAGAGGTACCTACAACAGAGAATGTGGTAGAAGGAAGGGTGATCCATACACACTAGTTGATATACAAGTGGTATGTGTTATACACATTGGGAGTAGGTCCATAGAAATCACCATATTCTCTGTAATTAGTACCTTGGGTGCTTAGAAAATTCAAAAGTCCTCCAGACACTATACTGCCCTCAAATGTGAAAGAAGTAAAAAATCTCCGGGAATTTCATGAATAGCATTTTTTCTTGCCAAGAATGACTAACATTCAATTTCAGAATGGAGTATGAGTATATCTTTACAATAATGGCATTGCTTGTTATTTGAGATTTTACTGTAAAGATCACCAAATGAACCAAGAATCAGAACTAAACAATATTGCAAAAATCCCCAGTGGAGCCCTGTGCATTGAAGGAATTGTGTTCCCTTATTATCTTTATTGATCGAATGTACCTCAAGATAACTGTTTAGTGATAGATCATCGTTTTGAATGTGGAAGTCTTGAGAATAACAAGAAATGTTAGAAAGAAAGAAGTTTACACCAAAGTTCACGATCTTGACATGCACAGAAAACCTGCGTAAAAGCCTATGCTGAAACAAGATTCTTAGATTTGAACATTCCTATAATTCAGTTTGGATTTTTTTGAGATAATATAAGTTTAGAATTGTATGAAAAGGACCCAATGATAGGTAATTATCGGGAGAATGCATTGAATTACAATATGCATCATTTTTATCGTGTTTAGTGTTAGTACTCTATTATTGCCCACTTGACTTCTCATAGCTTGACTTTTCATCTTTTTTCTGATATATTCACTAATACTGCAATATTTCTTGAACGTTGTGTACATGCCTGTTGCTTGTATTTTAGGGTAAAACTTTGCTGTTTCCTACATCAGCCCAACATTCTCTGCCATCAACAGTGACAAATCAGAAATATGTTGCATTTAGAATCACAGATGTCGATAATGAAGCCAAAGAGAATATTTTGTAAGTTTTTTTATGTGCCTTGTTTTAACTTCATGTTCATATTTAATTAACACTATATATTATTTTGACTTTTTCAATTTAACTTCCCACTCTTGTTTTGGGGCATACCTTAATAGCCGTGATTGGTGCCTGGGCGCTTAAAATAAGTCAAAACAGTTAAAAAAGTTGTCCTTATTAGCGCCCGACTGAGAAAAATGCCGAAGTTTCACTTTCAGTTTAGAATCAAAATTGGACAAAAATTTTTGTCCGCAAAAATTCGCTACCTTTGCATGAACTGTGGGGTTCTTACCTATCCTACTCTTTTTGCTTCACCAGTGGAATGTAAAACATGTACTTACATCAGTATTTTAATCGACAAGTCGATAGGAAAACGTTCTTAACCTCCTTAATTTTTTCTTAGCCTCGTTTTGGATTGCATATTGGGATTGACTATTTTCAACACATACCGAAACCACTAGATTACAGAAAAAAATCACTGGTAGACGTCAAAATAATGGATATGGACTTGAATTACCATGATTATATACATCTTATGGTGAAAACAGTGACATAATTCAAGCTGGAATACCTTTTGAAAACTGTAAAAGTAACTAAAACCAGCAAGTACTCTATTATCGCCCACTGGATTTCTTACGTTTGACCCTACTGATCGTTGATTCTCCAACCAGGGACTCACCCTCGGGCCTCCAAAAGTCTGGGGGCGCTAATAGGGACATGGGCGCCAATAACAGCTAATATGGTGCCTATGGGATCGACCAGGTGTCCGTTGGTCCGTCCGTCCATCCGTCCGTCAACGTTGGCCGCACAAATTAAAACTGCTATTCGGATTGAGTCATATCCACATTCATTTTATCCATAATGCCTATTTGACCTATCATCGCCATTTCCCAAGTTGGCCCAGTTTCAAAAAATTTTCTGTAAATACTAGACACTTTGTTGAAGATTTCAAAGCTCTTGAAATTACTGTTTTTGGTGTTTAGTCTATAAAATTTGACAAAAAGTAGGACTTGGTCATTTTCAGGGACTTTCTCATGTATATCGTCAATGGCAGGTTTTGTGATTGACAAATTTCTCAAAGTTTGTCCCTATACTTGTTCATTGTTTGTGTAACGACCCTTGATAGCAAGTTGCTACTACGGCCCAGCTGTAGTGGCTAAAGTCTTTATAGCTCAGTTGGTACAGCATCAGACTTTGGGTTCAAGGGTCCTAGGTTTGTTTCCCACACGGGGCATTGAATTTAGCACACTTTCTTTCAATTTCTTTATCTGGCTCATTACACTATGCTCTTTAGTTAGTCATTCCCCTGGGGCGCCCTTGGGTCATTACACTTGCAATGAATTACATCATTCCTAGATTTAAGCATTTCCTACATATGTCAGCATCAAATTTTTACTGTTTTTGAGATATTTGACGTCAAAAACCAGTAAAAATAAGTTATTTTTCAACTTGCTTCAATTTGACCAAATTTTGGGGGGAAAATCGTCTACAAGTTTCCAGGAGTTCAAATCTGTCCTTAGTTTTAAGATATGACCTTCAGTGACCTTCGTAAGGTCGAAAAAGTTGATTTTTCAAATTGATTATTTGGATGTAAATTTTGGTCACCTTAATCACAAAATATCTACTGAGCTCTGAATAAGTAAAATGTTCAAGGTAAAAGGTCCTCAAACTAGCTCACAAACTGTGCTATCTAAGTTTCTCAAAGTTCAAGACTGCAAATCAAAATCAATAATTTTGTTTGAAAATCAGGATATACATTCCTCTGAAGGTTCCACACTGTGTGAGCACAGGAACGTGGGTCCTTTATTATTTTTTAAAATTTTATTTGCAAATGATATTGTACTCAAATCCACCTCAACTTATTACATCTTACTTAATAATTTTACGTAAGTATGTTTTTGATGACACATAGGTGCTTATGAATTAATAGATAATTAAGAATAATATTTTCATAAATTTTATATCACTAAGAAACATATGGACCATTATGTAGTATTATCACTTCACAAGGATTGATGCTTACATACTTAACACTTTTCATCTCTAACCCCTTGACCGTTTTTTAACCCATCCTAACATCTTTCACTTAAACAAATGTATTCAGTAGAATCAGTACTATAAAATGTATTAATAAATACAACATTGGAATTTAAGGGGTATAACAGGCGATAAACTGTATACGACTCTTAGATTTGAACTTTTTGACTTCCAAATTAAATTACATATTTGTTTTGAGCCACAAATCAAACGAAATGTCATAACAAGAATAATCAGATAATGGACACAACAAAATGGTGAATGACAATTATTGGCCTAACAAATCAAAACTTAATGATTGGCATGACTAACGTCATAGCAATAATGATTATCACCAGGACAGTTCTCAGTTTTAATAACTCAGATGCGAGTAGGTACAACTTGTTCTGGTCAGATAGCATGGTAGGTATACGTTCCCTTTAACATGAATATTCATCAGTTTTAGTGGTTCAATTATCATGGCACCCTTATATATCTAATAGATATGTGATTTGAATTGAAATATGTCCAGTAAAAGAAAATGTTCAATACAAGAAGTCATTTCACTTTTTGTGATTGGGAATCTCTACAAACTACAAGTCACATTTTCAAAGAAATAAAAATTTTTAAAGTCACACTAAATTGTTGTCGGTCAGTCAACATTACATAAAATACCGTGTTTTTTTACAGAATGTTTTCAATGATTGGTTTGAGAGAAAAACATAATGTTGAATTCAGTTCACCATATCGATACCTATCCTTTGCAATTAAATGTGGATTTCGGTTAAGTGAGAAAAATCTAGGATCATTTCGATTGGACAAAAAATAATAAAATAAAAAGGTGGCTCTTACAATTTCAATTCTTATTTCATATTTGGAATCCTGAGGAAATTTCCTATAATTTCACTACTATTAGCATACTCTTGTCTATCTGTATACCAAATTTAAAAGAAAAATATGTAAGTGTAATGTCAGGAATGTAAAAATAGACTTTGACATCTGAAACGTCTCTTGGAGTTGCTCCATGGAGCCTTGTTTAGATGTGCAAAGAACAATTTACATATCATGTAGACAAAAAGGTTATGTAACATAATGTAGGTTGCATTTTTTGTGTCACTCTGTACATTTACACTGCACTGAACAGTGATTTTAAGATATTCTTGTAGACTACCAAATGTGCGTCCCTCTCAGAAGAATGAAGTTTGGAATAGACTACATATGCCCCCTAGTAGAGAGGAACAGGAAGATATTGAGATACTGAATCTAATACAAGGTATGGCCTAAATTGAGGTAATATGACTGAACCTAATACAAGGTATGGCCTAAATTGAGGTAATATGACTGAACCTAATACAAGGTATGGCCTAAATTGAGGTAATATGACTGAACCTAATACATATTATATACATGGTTTGAACTCAATAAATAGGTAAAATGACTGAACCAATAGAAAGCATGAACTGAAATGAGGTAAAATAGCCAGACTTAATACTATTAAGGCAATCTTAATATTTTAGTAAGAATACAAGGATTTTGACTGAATAATAATTTGAGATAACCTCACTATCCATGATATCATTATTTAAAACAGCCATCTTTGAGTTTTCCTGATGAGAGTATGTATATTAGTACCCTCCAGATATAACATTAGTTGGCAGTAAAATCAAGTTTCCAGTGAAGTGTACAATCTCCATTGTTAGTTCCTCAATTGAAATACTCAATTCTAATTAGTTAGTATAGTCAACAATTCGACTGTTGACTGCTACAAGGTACTGTTGACCGCTACTTTTGAAAAAAATGTTTTTTAAAAGTTGAATTTTTTTTAATTTTGAAAAAGTTGAAAAAATAAGTTGTGAAAAAAATTACAAATATTAGACGGTCCTCCAGTCTCAGTCAACAGTACTTTCAAGGTTTACAGTATCGGTATACAATTTTGCCAGTTGACCTCAAGAGAGGTCTACAATTGTATACTGTTCACCTCTAGATAAGTGACAGCTGACCACTGAAATAGTATATTGTAATGTAATCTGAAATGACAAGGCATACAATCCTGGCATTTTAGATATTGTTTTAACATGTGTATGTATGTAGAGGACTTAAATACCCATTACTACTAATGTATTTTCAGGCAGTGTAAGAAATAAACTGAAGAAACGAGGGATCAAAACTGTGACAGGTCTTGGCAGTAACTTTAGAAAGGCCGACAGATCAGGGGATGGTTTAATAAATAAGTTTGAACTGGAAAAATCACTGATTGACTTTCACATTGAAATACCAGATGAGGTATGTGAATAGAATATGTATGAAATTTTGAGTTTTTGTTTTTTCGTGAAGGATATCTAATGAGAGGTTTTAGATACAGGGTTTATCCATAGTGAGATATGTAGAGATTATCCTATATGAAGTTAGAATAATGGGATTAAATCAAGGCCAACATTATATATTTGTCCTCAGACTGTATGTTCCCAAAGGCAGATGATATATTTGCCAAGAAAGTATTCATAAAAAATCAAAAATGTTAAAAATACTAGTTTTTCATTCTGATACTCATAGCATCTTTCTGTTTCACCTGAAACAGGGCTGAGAAGATTTGAGATGTCATGGTTTATCATGATGCTAGTTTTTAATTATACATACAACCTATATACACCTAACAGACTGTGCTATATGTAAACAAGCAGTGCAGATATCATGTGCCTACGGTGCGGATTTGAATGCTCTTATATAGTGAACACCCTGTGCATTTAGTGTATTACCTAGACCTTATCTTTTCATTTTGTATTTTGTAGTACTTTGATAGATTATGGGAAATAATGGACACTGATGGGAGTGGATCTCTGGACTATGGAGAATTCATGCGGGGAATTTTAGGAGAAATGTCAGAGTTGCGAAAGTTTATTGTGAGAAAAGTAAGTCTTAATTCTAAATAGATTTGTACACACTCATTAATGTCAAATTAATGTAGATTTCATATAGTATTTCATTGGTTATGAAGTATAAAGGTTGATGTTTTGAACACCCACCTCCCCTGAAAAATTCACTTTAATTGGAAATGTTGTCTGATTGCACTGGGTAAAAAAGTATTCTGAATACCTTGGGAATCCATGAACCTGGGTACATCCCAGCTGGGTTCGATTCCCACTCGGGGCATTGAATTTAGCACACTTTCTTTCAATTTCTTTATCTGTCTTGTTGGACCTATGCTCATGGTCGTTAGTTATTTATTCCCCTGGAGCGCCCTCGGGTCATTACACATTAAAATGCATCCATATGCCTTTATTTATGGATCTGTCATCTGTCTAGTCATAGAATAAAGCCGGAATTGTAGAAATGTTAATAATTTGAGCTATTTTTAGATTTCATAATCTTTATAATTGAACCCTTCAATGACTGTATCATGTTCCACGTAGGTGGGTAGGTGGGTAGGAGGTAGGAGGTTTATATACAAAGCCCTCAATATGCGTAACATTACTGGGTTGGTTTTAATATAACTTTAATAGTACAAATAAATAGTGTGATGTGTCATAAAAACGTGCATGGCTGAGTGTATTCAAAATTAGTAAAAGTTATTTATGTTTGAATAACATGAAAATGGGAAACTCTTTTATGGGTTTACATTGCCAAATTGTCATTTCTGTGACAAGTTGTTTTTACCTATGATGACAGAAATGACAGATGAAGCCTTATCGAAACAAATAAGGTTAGAAATTGCATGTACAAGGTGAGAAATTGCATCATGACCATGTTTTAATGTGGGATTGAGCTTGTTCTAAGACACTTGTAACCCAAGCCTACGTGTAAACTATCTAGACAATTAGCATTGTATTCTGAGCCATTGTTGGAAAAATCCTTGTATCACTCTCCCTACTTAAATCATTCAATTTTCTCCTTTTCCTGACTTTAAAGCATTTTTGCTTATTATCCCAAGGAACGAACTTCAGTAGGGATATTGTGAAGCTTCCGTCTATGAATAGTTTTACGCAAAAAAAAATTTTTCAAGATTGCCGCCGCTCTAAAAGTCGTGGGATTTTTTTGCAAAAATCTAATGTTTTTCATTTAAAACCAAAGTAATAAAAATTATTATTTGAAATTTTGGTAGTATATACACAACATCTATCTATTTCACATATATTTCATGCTTTTACCCCGACTCCCAGGGGACATGAATGGGGGGCTGGGAAAACAGAAATGTGTGTTAATTGTGAGCTGTTTTTGAGCTTCATTATACTCAATTTAGAGTAGATTGCAAATATTGTATCGTGTATCGACGGCCCTGCAGCGTTAGATCATAATTATGCACTGTCAAAACAAGTTACTTTTCACAAATCTTGCACAACTCATCATGTAAATAAAAATATTTTATCAGATAAATATCAATCAGAGTTTAATGGATTCCGGAGCATCGATCTGATACCCAGAGGTGAGAAGATTTCAACAAGAAACACTGAAAAGATTGCTGAAATGATCGAACATGATAGCTAGATTTAGGCTGAGATTCAGATCAATCACGACTACATGGACTAGGTCTTTGTGCATTTTCATGGCAAACAGTTTTAAATCAACATCGAATCGCATGATTTAATTCATATTAATGGCTGCATACATTCCAATGTACATTTAATTCCATAATATAGTGTAACTCTGAAGAAACACTCGATGAGATCCCAGGATCAGATCATCGTAGATGGGTACTTTGCTTTGTTTATGCCGGTAAACCTGACAACGTTTTGATTGGTCAATCAGCCTGATTCACACATCGTGTCCACACGATCTTGTCAATCAATATGGTTGCGCAATACCTCTGACAGCGTAGGAATTATGGCGGTAATAGTTCAAGATCAGATAAGTAGAAAATACCGACTTGGGCTAGTCCATGATTCTGAAAAAGTAAAACTGTGGACCCACAGCCCGTATGCTTCCAAATTACATTCTAAATAGCATACTCTCTGATATATGCACAAAATTTGACTTTTTGTTGTCAAAATCTTGAGGGAACTTGGGAAATGACTGGTCAAATAATAATATGGATAGCCATAGGATTAATGTGCATGCAATTTATCCAATTTCAGGACTGTGTATAAGTCATGATATTTGATAACATGCTCCTATTAGATACCAAAGGTTTGATAAACCAATAGGGCAATACTAGTAAATAATAGGGCACATGAGAAGGAAATATACTTGTATATCAGTGCTCTCCCCACATTGAAATAATCGAAAATTCTTCACTAAAAAATAATTGGGGAGAGTGTAATGATATGCGAATGCGAAGTAGTATGCAAGATGCTTTAATGTTATATATTATTATGATATGATCCCCAGTCTCAATAATATGTTATGTTATGCAAACTCTCAAAACTATGATGCCATATGAACTACATGCACCAGATATGAGTCATTAGCAGAAACACTGTGCAACCAATCTGTGTTTACTTGAAGCAAGAAGTCTTTTAGTAATGTGGAGCTCCTCTAGCCCCCCCCCCCTCTAGAAGTAGGACACCTCTGTTAGTGGAACACTATTCAGAGTCCCATGACTTAATGTTAAATAAACTTCTATCAGTGGAACATCTCCCAAGTGGAACCCTTTTAAGAGGTACCAGAATGTTCCACTTAGGCAGGTTTTATTGTAATAGACTAGATGCAGTTCCGTCAAAGTGATGAATTTGAAATCTACATGTAAAATTACGTCCAGAAATGTGGTTTTAAAAAGTGTTTATCAACTTTGAAAATTTGATTTTCTTTGAAAATGTGATTTCTAGGTCGGGGAGATTCACAAAATGTGAAATATCTTTTCTTGTATTGGACAGATAATATTTTCTTTTACTGGACACATTTTAATTTACATTATCAGAACTATCAGTAACATAGGGGTAATACTGAAATCTGAAATCCTAAAACTGATGAATATTCAAGTTTAAGGGAATTTTCTAATACCTTGCCATGTTATTTACCCCGAATCAGCCACCTATAAATGGTAACTTCTTACTCGCATCATGGTAGTTGATAAATGATACTTCCTGACTCGTCATCTACTTCCTATTGTTTTCGTTTTGTAGTAATAAGTGATACATGATGCTTCTTTTCTCGTTATCTATATCCAATTAAAGATATTTGTATGGTCATTATTTGTATAGATTTGTCTAGTTTCTCAAACTTCATGTTTTTCCATGTTTTTGCCATTCCGCATCCAAATGTCTTACTCAACATTATATAACTCAACATCTCACCCAATATAACATAACTCAACATCATTGTACTCAACATAATATTACACAACATCATTGTACTCAACATCATTCTCACTCAAAATTGTATTTTATTCACACTTTTAAAATTAATATAGGAGTACTCTTTCTACTTTTAGGCATTTCGCAAGATAGATGCGAACAAGCAGGGGATGATCACATTTGGCAACCTTAAGAAATTTTATAATGCAAGGGCACACCCGAGTGTACAGAAAGGTAAGATATCAGGTTTGTAATATATATTGTAGAATTTCTGAATTGGATATTGAGAATTGAACATTCTGAATTTTAATTGTATAAAATGTCATTTTAATTGAACATTGTACCGGACAAAATCAGTTTTGTTGTTACTGATTTGATTAATCTCGATCAGCATAAGTTTTTAACCAGTGAAATACCGTGACATAATTTGATTGGTGAGTTCTAGGTCAAAACTTAGTTTTGTCTTATGCAATGCTTATTCATGGGGAAATAGCGTTGGACTACCTGAGAATCAAGGTGCGTCAATGAAATACAATTAACTCAGTTCTGTGTCAGATTTGATCAAATGTGCTCAAAAACGGTAAAAAACGTTGTTAACGCCTGCCCTGAATTATGAACCCAGAGGCTGAGAAACTGATTGTATGTAACTGAATATGGTAATATGGTATATGGTAACATAATTAAAGTATGCCATTGTATGTCTACCTTAAAGATGGTATCTATTATTCAGTCCTGTGTGGTTCCATGAGATGGTTCCATATCATCTTTTGTCTGATGACATCATTCACAGCCATGGTAACTGTATCGAAAACATAATGACATTGGACAGCATGTCTCAAAAGAATAGTCAATGTTTTCACATTGATGTTGTTAAAATATTATATAATGAAATGGTATTGTTGACTCGGCTAAAAATTATAATGATCAATTTCAAGTAGATGTATGGATACGACGTCAGATACTGTACATCACGGCGTAACATTGTAATTGTTCATTTTACCGACAAAATGCAAAGATTTACGCGATAAATATGCGCAATGCTCCTCCCAATAATTTCAAAAGTTTTAATATTCGTGGAATCTTCTTAAAAACTTCAAGTTTTGTTCAGATTAATGTGCGCTTCAATACTATTCTATATTCAAAAAGGTTGTGTCACAATATACAGAATTAGAATCACTAGAAAGTAGACATTTCAAACCCTCCCCGTTTTCTTCTTTGTCGCGCTTTTCGGCCATGCGCTCTCGTTGTTGCACCGTCTTTCTAGACTCTTTCACAGAGCCCATTGTCATAATCAACTGATATACACAGACGGGAAAATATTAAGGATTGTCAATTGTATTATTTGTAATTTATTTTAACTCGAATATTTAGTTTTATTTATTTAAAGCAATGAATAATAAAGGAGAACATATAATATGCTAACGGCGCAACGTCTTATTTTGTAAAGGCTTCACTTGGGGTTGCGGTGATAAAATGATGTCTATCTCAATATATACTGGTTCAAATTAAATGGAATTAATTGTATGTAGTAAGGGGTATAATTAAAAGAACATGCTGAAACATCAGAACGTTTTGAATGTTTATCCCTTAATTGGAGATATTTGAACTCCAAAAGTGAAACGTAATTTTGTGAATTTTTCACGTGGCTTCACTTCATATTTCTTTCAATTTATACTTTTAACAAACTGAATTTTAATCGAAATGATAACGTTTTTTGATAAAAATATAGAATATGATATGCCTTTAAGGAATCAAAAAAAGAATAATCCACATTTCAAACGATTAAATGTTTAATTGATCAAAATATATATCTTGTTGGTACGAAATTCTGCCTGTCCACACTTTTTTGGCAAAAAATATAAGCGTTAAATTAGCATTGTTATATTATGACGTCATCACACAGAATCTGTTTGTTTTTTCCAAAATAGTGAATTTAAATATTGTGAAAATTTGAGAAAGATCCGTCAAGAAATGACAAAGTTATCTTCATTTTTTTTCGTTTAAAATTCAAATCATTTTTCTTCAAAATGTTACAGTCCACACCCGGTTTTAGCATAGAAAGTCACATCATACGGCTTGCGTGATTCTCATTTAAAAAGTCCCAAATCAATTATTTGGAATTCTGATAGACAAAATATTTCATGGGCGTATATGTTCAACTGATGACGAAAAATTGTATAAAAATATGATTTTGCTGTGGAGATATCGCGGTTTTAAAAGTAACTACCCATGTAAAACTGCAGTAAAATGCCGTGATGTACGGTATCTGACGTCGTATCATGTATGATTCATAGGTTTGTACATGTATGTATGATTCATAGGTTTGAATTGATAATCTATCATATTTTATCAAGAGTAGAAATCATTTATGAACCAAATGACATTTTTTTACTTTTGCACACTTAATTTCAAGAAAATACAATTTCAAAAAAAAATATTTGTTTGATTTTGTCTAATATCCAGGTACCAATGTGTAAGAAAAAACATTACAAACAATACTACTTTTAGTTATAGTTCATTGAATACATCCTTAAATAGTTATGTTATTAGGAGATATCTATCTGTCTCGAAACATTATATGCTATAAATGTGTTAAAAACATCAAAAATGAGGGAGATAACAAATTTTCGATTAATTTCTAAGTCTTCTTCAGGTAAACTGAAATCCATCCACATATATAAATGTGTGATAGTTTCTATATACATGTAGCTTTGAAATCTCCCCTATTCTTATTTTGTATAAGTTTGCAAGTCATTACCATTGAAGCCTATGGCAGTCTGGCCCACCCAAAACAAATAAAAACAAGTAGAGACATCTATTTATTCAGCTTTATTTAGCTGTATAGCAACCCCCTTATTAGGAAATACATGATCTGTTAATGTGTTTACAGGTGAAGCAACTGAAATGGAAATCCTCAATATGTTCCTGGAGTCATTCTCTCACTGTAGAAATAAGGAAGAGATCACATATGTGGAGTTCGAAGAGTATTATGAAGGACTGAGCATAACCATTGACGATGATGAAGTATTTGCAAACATTTTGAAATCATCTTGGAACCTTTAAGGACTAAATTAAGACATTGTGCGATTTGATTTGATGTTTCTGTCTAGTGGGATGAAGGATGAAATGTAACAGAGGTGCTACAGGGGTGGTGATGATCAAAGGGATGAAGTGTTATAGGGGAGGAAGTGTTCAAAGAGGGGAGGTTTTCAAGGGGAGGAGGTTTTACAGGAAAGGAAGTGTTCAAGGGAAGGATGTGTTACAGGGGAGGAGGTGTTCAAGGGTAAAAGGTGTTACAAGGGAGGAAGTGTTCAAGGGGAGGAGGTGTTACAGGGGAGGAAGTGTTCAAGGGGAGGAGGTGTTACATGGTTGGAGGTGTTCAATGGGAGGAGAAATAACAGGGGAGGAATGTTGAAAAAGATGGTTTTATAGGAGGTTGGGTGTTGAAGGGGAGGGAGTAAGCAGAGGTATTTTATCGGTTATTAGACAAGAGTACATTTCTTTTTACCAGCTTGCTAGTCTAGAAAGAATTATTAGGTTGACTTTCTTTCCTTTAATGGAGGCCTTTTGGGTCATATTTCTCATGGTAGGCTGCATGACGTTACATACAAGCCTGAATTATACAAAAGATCCACCCAGCTATATAGATCATTCAACCTTACCCACCTTATTAATGCTCTACTACTATGACCTCAATTTCTCTTAACATAAATAAGCATCAAGAGCCAAGTGACTTCTTTCAACTCTCCGATTTAAGTCTTGTTCTTGTATTGGTCCCAGATATCTCCGTCCATTTTTACACGTGCAAGAATCATAAGTCATACATTTCGAGAACCTTCGTGCGAAATCATTGCTTCTTCTTCTCTTCTCTTGAAATCATTGAAACAATGTGTCGTCTCAAGTCTTGTAGTGTGCATGTCACAAACATTATCATGATATCACTTTTATTGTGATAAATACCAACATTCCAGTTACTAGTATCACTATTATTGTGATAAATACCAACATTCCAGATGGTATCACTATTATTGTGATAAATATCAACATTCCAGGTAATTCTATCACTATTATTGTGATAAATACCAACATTCCAGGTATCGGCCATATCAACATTTTTACAGTAGTTAATACATTTCAATTTTAATTATATCTTCCTATTTTTGTCATGCCTGTTGTTGACAAACAAAATAGTACTTATCAGAGCTCAGATATATGAATCATATACTGGTAGCTCATTCATTCCATTTCAATATGATGTACCATTCATGTTTTATTTAAATAATTTATTCTGTGTTTTGTTTGTGATTTTATTTAATTGATTGCATCCTGTGATAACAAACAACAAAGATAAGTAAATAATGCAAATTATAATTCTCTAAATAATGTGTTGTTTTTATGTCACCACCAAAAGTGGTGACATATTGTGGTGGTCTCCGTTTTCTTGCGACGGCGGTTGGTGGTTGTTGGTTGGAGGTTGGTGGTTGGAGGTTGGCGTCCGGCGTCTGTAACAATTTCTTACAACTTCCTATAACTTAACAAATACTGTTTAGACTGACTTCAATTTTTTTCTAAATCATCTACATGTTCTCAGAAGTTCAAATCTGACTTTAGATTTGACATTTGACCTTCAATGACCTTCTCAAGGTCAAAAGGGTCTTTTTTCAACTTGCTTCACATTGACTAAATTTTTTTTCAAAATCATCTACATGTTCTCAGAAATTCAAATCTGACTTTAGATTTGACTTTAGATTTGACATTTGACCTTCAAATCTGACTTTAGATTTGACATCTGACCTTCAATGACCTTCTCAAGGTCAAAAAAGGTCAAAAAGGTCTGTTTTCAACTTGCTTCAAATTGACTAAAAAAAATTTTCAAAATCATCTACGTGTTCTCAGAAATTCAAATCTGACTTAAGATTTGACATTTGACCTTCAATGACCTTCTCAAGGTCAAAAAAGGTCTGTTTTCAACTCTTCTTCAAATTGACAAAAAAAAATTTTCAAAATAGTCTACGTGTTCTCAGAAATTCAAATCTGACTTAAGATTTGACTTAAGATTTGACAGTTGACCTTCAATGACCTTCTCAAAGTCAAAAAAGGTCAAAAAGGTCTTTTTTCAACTTGCTTCAAATTGACTAAAAATTTTTTTCAAAATCATCTACATGTTCTCAGAAATTCAAATCTGACTTTAGATTTGACATTTGACCTTCAATGACCTTCTCAAAGTCAAAAAAGGTCAAAAAGGTCTTTTTTCAACTTGCTTCAAATTGACTAAATTTTTTTTTCAAAATCATCTACATGTTCTCAGAAATTCAAATCTGACTTTAGATTTGACATTTGACCTTCAATGACCTTCTCAAAGTCAAAAAAGGTCAAAAAGGTCTTTTTTCAACTTGCTTCAAATTGACTAAATTTTTTTTCAAAATCATCTACATGTTCTCAGAAATTCAAATCTGACTTTAGATTTGACATTTGACCTTCAATGACCTTCTCAAAGTCAAAAAAGGTCAAAAAGGTCTTTTTTCAACTTGCTTCAAATTGACTAAAAAAATTTTTCAAAATCATCTACATGTTCTCAGAAATTCAAATCTGACTTTAGATTTGACATTTGACCTACAATGACCTTCTCAATGTCAAAAAAGGTCAAAAAGGTATTTTTTCATCTTGCTTCAAATTGACTAAAATTTTTTTCAAAATCATCTACATGTTCTCAGAAATTCAAATATGACTTTAGATTTGACATTTGACCTTCAATGACCTTCTCAAGGTCAAAAAAGGTCAAAAAGGTCTTTTTTCAACTTGCTTCAAATTGACTAATTTTTTTTTTCAAAATCATCTACATGTTCTCAGAAATTCAAATCTGACTTTAGATTTGACATTTGACCTTTAATGACCTTCTCAAGTTCAAAAATGGTCAAAAAGGTCTGTTTTCAACTTGCTTCAAATTGACCAAATTTTTTTTTCAAAATCATCTACATCTTTTCAGAAGTTCAAATTTGACTTTACAAGTTCTCAGAAGTTCAAATCTGACTTTAGATTTGACCTTTGACCTTCAATGACCTTCTCAAGGTCAAAAGGTATTTTCCAACTTGCTTTAAATTGACCAAATTGTTTTAGGTGGTGACATTTTGTCATGTTAATGCCTTGTTACATTTTTATTATCCAAACGAACAAAGTTTGGTAAGGATATAGTGAAGCCCTCAGTCTGTCCATCTGTCAGTCCGTCCGTCCATCCATCCGTCCGTCTGTCCGTCCGAAAGATAACTTGAATACTAGTGGGCGAATTTGATGGTCGCCACTTTAATTTGGCGAATATCTTAAATTTTTTATTTAAAACCAGAGAAATGAATATTATTGTTTGATATTTTGATAGTACATTCACAATATCTATCTATGTTACATATATTCCGAGTTTTTCAGCATAACCCCCAGGGGCTGTGTATGGGGGTAGGGAAAACAGAAATTGCATTCATTTTGAGATTTTTCTAAAGTTAGCTTTATTATGCTCAAATGAAAGCCAATTTAGAGTAGATTGCATTAGATTATATGTTATAGTGTTCGTTGCGATTTGCTACTCCGTGGAGTTGCCGTTTTCTAGTTGCACTTGAAAAGTGCTATTTGGTATTAACTGTCTTGTGCTAATGGGAAGGTGTGTTTGTGGATACCGAAGAGACATACTGGAGTGTGGCACTATACTTATTAATCTTTTATAACATAACTTTTATAACAAGATAACCATTGAATAGTCATCCAATTTGATCTATACTCCATAATAACATGATCTCTGTGGGAAATAATCAGGGTATAGAATTGATATTCAAAAATTCTCGAACCGGATCCTGTATCATCCAAAATCCCGTATCAGATCCGTGTCGGAACTATTTCCGGGCATTTCTCTTGATTCGTTCTATTTAAAGCTTGTTAATAAATGTTAAATGATAAATCTAAATGTCTCATTTTATGTCACCATCATTGGATGATGGAATATGAATTTTTCCTCGAAAAATATCATATTGACACTGTCGCCCTCACTCAGTATGATATCTTCTTTGGCCAATATCATATCTTCCCTCAGAATAAAATTCATATCCCATCCCTCCCAATGTATAACCTGTATTTATCCTATGCCAAGTAGAGTTTTAGGGAGATAAGTTGGTAAGATATATCCCATATCCTGATTTTGAGGTTTCCATATCCAGAACCTCCATATCTCCCGCTTCGGTGCACATCTTCCCGGTTCGGTGCATATCTTCCCGCTTCCGGTAAGTAGTGGAAATGCAATAAAATGACTTTGCATATGAATGATTTGTTTATTTTTACACCTTGTACTATCGAAATGGTCATATGACCCTGAAAACTCTACTTGGTATAGGATAAAGCAGTCGTGAGATATGCACATCTACCTTCGGTCCCTGCGGTCCCTCAGGTAGATATGCACATCTGGATAGATAGATATCTCCCTCTGGATAAACCCCATATCCAAAACCTCCCAGTACATAACCCTTATTTATCCCATGATGCTACTACTTCCCGGTGAATAACAGCCTTATCTGATCGAGAAACCGTATTTTCCAAACAAAGTTGAAAATAGAGATTTTGAAACGTAATAAGATTGTAAGGATAACGTAGGCAAATTGTAATTTCATCATCATTCTCGGACACAAACAGTCAAAGTCATAGAAATCTGAGCAATAAGTGAATGACCTGTGATGGACATGTATATGTATTGTTAAATTGTTTGATGTTGATGTGTTTATGCTATATAAAAAAAATTATATTTCAAAATGTCATAAAGTTAAGTCATATTTTGAAGACTAAATTTGGTTTTGTTTCATACAAAAATCAGATATGGATTTTGAACTAATGATTAAGCGAGTCATGAATATCATTGGATGAAAAGCTTATTCACTGGTCGGGATTAAATATGGGTTTATTCATCGTGACAATATGATATTTCCCTCTGGGTCCTTGGGAAGTATCATATTTTCCCTCGGAATAAAACCCATATTGAATCCATCCCAGTAAATAATCTCTATATCGTTACCATTACCATTTAACATCTATCTAAAACGTTCAATTGTAGATGCTTTAGTACATTAACCTCTGGGTTTTGAAATATCATTAATTGGTGGGTGTATTAATATGATATAGTCTAGACTGGTTTCCATGTTAGTGTAATTATTGAATGTCAAAATGTGTTAATTACTGAACTAACGTCATTCACACACCGGAACAGCCTGACAACGGTAAAGTCAGATACCGTTGTCACAAATGGCGGACATAACCGTCGCTTCAACTCTTTAATCACTTGGTCCTCGTTTCATGGGACTTAATCGCCGATAATTCTGTGCCTATCAAATGGGGTCGTGAATCGCCACAATATAGTGTCTTCGATATCGTCAATGACAACGGAATCTGAATTTGAAATAATTTACAAAGACAATGGCATATGGTAAGATGTGACAACGGACTAATGTGGATGTATTGTATTGGAACATAGGAAATGACAACGTAAATAGACACTTGACCGTTGTCTTTACATATACCGTTGTCAAATATTACGTACAGTTGTCACCTCGATTTTACATCACATTTGACCCACACCTACCGTTGTCATTTTCCAGTATCCGTTGCCCTGTGTCATATTCCGATCGGTAAAATTAAAGCCTTTATTTCGATGGTAGAACATATTTAACAATATGATCAGTTGAAAAACACTTCGAGTGATTGCAGTACCAAAGGAATTTAATCTAGTCGCTCTATTAAACATACAGTTCATGAAAAACTATTTGAAGCGACGGTTATGCCCGCCATTTGTGACAGCGGTATCTGACTTTACTGTTGTCAGGCTATTCCGGTGTGATTTAGGAGTAGTATTCCCAATTGGTTTTTCTAGCTCGGGGCTTTAGATATTTTGAATGGCCTTAGTCCTACATCTGGATATTCGGTATGGCATTGGTCTCATATCTGGACATTTGGTATGGCATTGGTCCTATATCAGTGGATATTTGGTATGGCATTGGTCTTATATCTGGATATTTGATATGGCATTGGTCTAAAATCTGGACATATGACATGGCATGATTGGTCTTATAGTTTGACATTTGGTATGCCATTGGTCCGTATATTTGACATTTGGTATGGCATTGGTCCTATATTTGGACATTTGGTCTGGCTTTTGTGCGTTATTTTGGTTGGTATTGAAATTCGACAGATTATTTATTCTAATGAACCCCCTGGGGAATGGAGAAACTAAAATTTTAAATCTGTTGTTTTGGGACGATGACCTAAGTTCGATGAGTATTAATTACAAATTTTAACATCAAAGTATGTATCTTCTTGACGACTCGAAAAACAGTCTACCTTGTTTCAGAGACACTGCGAGTTGGCATCACGATAAGACTACGTGAATGAGATATCGGAAAACTTATCTAATTGATAAGATTGTCAAGAAATAAGGTCATGATAGAGTTCGGTTAATATTCTTCTCAGATAGAGGAGGACTGAGACGTGATACTCTTACAAGTAGATCCTTGGATTCGCAGGATGGGTGTTCTACAGCTAGGGCGCAAAAGCGACTTCCAATACCAAATGCATTTATTTTACAGGGTGGGCCAAAAAAGCCAACCCCTAGCCAATATTCCTGATAAATATTCAATTTTTAACATGCACACCAACAGTGATATATCATTTTAAAGATAATTTAATTTGCAACAAGATGATATATAATAGCACCATTTTCAACAGCCTTGGCTCGAGATATAACCATTTATGTGACATGGGGGTGAAAAAACACCTTTTCAATTTTCATTTTCAAAAAAATTTTTTTCGGAAGTTTTTTTCTATGACCGGAAATTTGCCCCCCCCCTTGTTGATTCCTGGATCCACCCCTGTGTATGTCATGTATGTTTTAGCTCCGAATGAGCTTGTTTAAAATATGCATCAGAAAACCAGCTATAGAACTACCAATGGCGTATTGCAAGCTACTTGTTACATACCGGCGTAGTCTAAGTAAACATTGTTTAAGTGAGAAAACTACATGCATTTGTATATGGGAGATTTATACGTACAGGTTGCCGTTTCGATTTTATATGCAAGCTTGAAGTCTCCAATATTATACAATAAATGCACAAATACAAATTTAATTATTGTATCAATAGCAATGACATCGTATATTTATCAGTTGATGCATGTTTATTTTACTCCAATGTTGGGATGAATTTACACTCCCCTCCGTAAGTTTGGCAACCTTAGCTCCCCAAATTGAACTACGTGTTAAAGCCTCTTTAGCTTTGAATTTTTATTTACTTAACCTGCACTGAAATAACATATACTATTGATGGAAACGTAACTTGATTTTATTTCCAATACCTCCAAATTTTCTCAATTTTTTCCCTCAATTACAATAGGTCGAAAATCGATGATAAATTTGATGAATTTTTGAAAATCGTCATTCCCATGTAATCCAATTGGAAAGGGAGGGTTCGGGGCAAATCAGAAATCAGGATATCTTTTCAATGAAAGATTCAGCAAAAAATATTTTTATATAGAAAATTGAATTGTCTAGCTGTTTTGTACACTAAGTGTTTAGTTTATTTGATAGATACTAAAGTTTCAAAGTCATTTTTGAAAATAATTTTTCGCCTCCTGTGTTATTTCAATGGGAGAGGTTTTTTGGAAAACAATTTTGAATTTAAAGCCCTATAACTTTGTTGAACCTGAAGAAACATATAAATTTTTTGTTTAATAAGTTGGCAAATTCAATTGCCTACCTAACTCGTATTTTTGCAAAGACTCGGATGGATGGATATTCTATCATATGACTTGCGGCAAACCTACAAATTCCCATTGGTTAACATGGGAATGTCGATTTTCAAAAATCCATCAAATTTATCATCAATTTTCGATCTATTTTAATTGATGAAAAAATTGAGAAAATTTGGAGGTATTGAAAATAAGGTCAAATTACGTTTCCATTAATAGTATAAGTATTTTCATCGCAGTTTAAGTAAATAAAAATTCAAAGGTAAAGAGGCTTTAACACGTAGTTCAATGGCGGAGATAAGGTTGCCAAACTTATGGAGGGGAGTGTATGTTCACATAGTTAAACATGTGTTGTCAATTTCAGACCTTTGGATTGGTCTATTAAAGTGGATTGTCTTTATTTGTAATGCGTATTGGCGCCTAATGACAAAGTTTAGCTATCCAAAAACTTGTTCAGGTGTTAAGAGCCATGACACCCTTTCTTGCACAAAGTTTGCTACTTAAATTATGTTTCAATAAATCATTATATATTATAACATTTTTAAGTGTAAAAACAATTAAAGCACATGACCAAATCAAACGTAGTTGGGTGATATGCTACTAAAAGCTTGACTTACGACCCCATTCTAAATTTTGTATGTGATAAACTCGTACATAACTCCACCAATTCATTGATTCTTGTGCTAAAATCATAGAATCACTTGGATGCTGGTCAACTTAGGAAATGTAATTAATGAAATGTAAATACAATGATCTGAATTTTATAATTCTTAGAACAATTTCAAACGTATAAATGTAAATAAATATTTCAAAATATTTCAAATAATTACATTCAGTTTTTCACGATACAAACTCATTTTATTCAACTTCTCTTCAATCGTTAAACGACCAGAATAGATGGCAGTTAAATAATTGTCACCATTGGGTTGTTCTTCAGACAGGTCCTATTGCTTTGTGTGTAAATATTGCTGTTTTAAAACATCTGTTAAGTTATACTATTTATCATCTAATATCTTTTTCTGTTCATAGTTCTTTTTTAAGTAGTTATTTGTTATGGCTCATACAATTGAACACCAAAAAATTCTCCCGTTTGTTAACGTCAGATTTTCTATACCAAACTTAGATAGTAGGTCAGGGGGAAAATTAACCAATTAACAAAAATTAACCCGTAACCAGGGGGAAAATTATTTCAAGACCAAGCACTTTTCATGTGATTTTAGGCCAAAATTGTCAAATTTGAAGCCCATTGGATTTTTTAAAACTGAAGTCCTCTTGGCTAAAGCTGGCTAGGGGCCTGTAGGTGATATATTAAACCCAATCTTCATCAGTTTATACACAAAGACATAGTTCTACTGACTAAATAACGCCAAATGGAGGGACAGAATATAATCATATAACGTGAATATTAGAAACATAGGAACAATTTTGAAAATCATTTCTATATCCAGGGATTCGTGGGTGTATTGTTTTCTTATTCTGATATCGTAAACTAAAACTGCATATGTGAAAGACGAAAACTTCTGCTTTTGCGCAGAAAAATAATTGGTAACATGATTACAAAATGTCTGTGATATGCTGTAAGTTATTGTTCTCATTTTTCATCTTGTGTCATTAAGGCGTCTTATCTATCTTCCTATCTATTCTTCTATTGTCTCGGACGCAGACCTAGGCCATAGCTGCAATACTCAGATCAAAGGACGCCACAAACGTAGCGTTCGTTATTTTTGAAATTCCTTATCACAATGTTCAAGGGTCAGTCAAATCTGATAATGACCCCTCTGTAGAATGATTGATAGATGGCGCTTCTGTGGATTGTCCGAATCGGTGTAAATGCCGCTGTCTAGTATGTTTATTGTTTCTATGGCGATTTGACGTCTGTAGAGAATCTGAATGATCTTGACTTGTTATGCCATCGGACGAATGTCTACTCCTCTTTCTATTGTTTAAGGTCATATATCCCGATCTTTTGCCCGACTTACAGTACTGAGTTAACTCGGGTACTCCGCATGGGTTCATACAACACTCGCACGTGATCCCGCGCATTCCCGCGTCTCTTTTCTTTAAATACGAAGAAGCTTCATCCTTTTCAATAAACACATTTTTCATCCTAGGATTCTGCTTACTCAGATCTGAAAAAATAATAATTTGCTTTCTCTGAAGAAATGAATAAAGTTGTTTAAAGCTTTTAAATATTTAGTTATTAATAATTTTTAAGTACTTCGTGGACGACAAAAGTTGTTGAATGAAGATTTGTTTGATAAATGAAGGCACCCAAAAAGATACATCTAAGCTGTTCCTACATATTGAAAATCTAATAAATGTTAAGAAAACAAGTTTAAGAAAAGTACACGCGGTATTGCGTGCAAAAATGAGTTTGGCCGTTACCTTTTACTGATCAGATGAAAGGATGTTCAATAAAAAAATTAACTGGGAGCACTTTCGATATTAATGCGATATTTGAATAAACAATTCGACATGTAATCTTTGAATTGAAAATCATGGAGTAACTAAAATGAGAAATACAGCAGTTACCATAAATGAACTAAGACAGCTATTCCGGAGCATTAAAAAGAACAAATCTGCAAATCTCTCACCTATTAAATCGTCGTCAATTTCAATATCTCTTTTTCCACGCCCATCATAGAATCCATTGGGATGACAGAGTAAATCAAGAATCATTCTTAACTTGTCGCCGCAATAATACCCCTTGGCACCAGCTGCGTATGTGGCGTGGTTGCACGTTTTTGTTTGTGCCGCCAAAACTTTGTTTTGTGAAGTACATAGCACCCAAATCAACGCGCAGCATAAAGACAACACATGTTGAGTATGACCTAAAACAAACAAAGAAAGTTTTGAGCGTGACGCAATATTTAGTTTTTTGTCTTTCTGGTATAAATACAGGATATCCTATCATTCTGAGTGTTACCATTTTTATCCACGAGTTGATATTAATATCTGGACAGGCGAGCGTAGCGAAAAATCATAGGATATTCTTTTTATCCCATAAATCACTCAAACTCATAGGATATCCTCTCGTATACTATTTTTTCATTAGTTTTCTCCTGAGCGCTGAAAATGGTTTAACAAATAACAGCCATACCCGAGTGACCGCAGGAATTATGTGCTTATTAAAGTTATTTCAATGTTTCATGCAAACACTTTACACAAAGTATGTTCTGTTGAATATCTTTAATTGATTTTATTGTGATGTGATGTGAGCTACTTTTAGAATAGGCCTATGCCTATTTGTTGAAACCCATAAATAAGTATGATATTCTATGATTTTTTTTAGGCTATTAGTTTATCCTCTCTTGGATATCGGCCATCGTGGAGATGGTCGATATCCACACATGGATAAATAGAGATTATCCTATATGAGGTTCAGGATATTGGGATTATCCCGAGGCCAATATAATATATCTGCCCGAGGGCCGTAGGTCCCGAGGGTAGATATACTATATTGGCCAAGGGATAATCCAAATATCCTGAACCGACTATAGGATGATCTGTTTATCCCATACCAATCACATTTATCAATTGGCCAAAGTTCAGAGACTTTGCAACCAACCGTGGAATTATTTCAAAATATTCATGTCCAGTTTTGTATTCTTGTCCGTAGCCGGATTTTCCCGTTCAAATTTTTGATTATTAACGGGGCATACTGCTCCTTCCCTTCTTTAAAGCATCAAACAGATCGCGATTGTCTGCGTTTTTCTCCATTGTCTTTTACAGTATGCGAACGTTACAAAAAAGAACCAATACGGGAACAGCGATTATGACGTAGCGGGCAGATATACTATATCTGCCCGCTCGGAGCGGGACGTAAAGCTATATCTGCCCGCTGATGAAAATATAAGTTTTTACAAACCGGCTTTATGTACCCGTAACACGTCCAAGTATGGGATAAAAAATAATATCCCTCAAAAAGTGTCTTTGATATATCTGAAGTACAAGTTTGTCATGATCTCGTATTACGTGGTGTTATCGGACACAGCATAACATAATCAATGTAACAATAAATAATCATTACGAAACTCATTTATGACGTATGGCGTAATGAAATGATACCATCCATTGTTAAAATATTGTTCACTATAACACCAGTGACAATCTATTGTGTTGCTTATTTTCAGTTAGCCAACAATAAAATCAAGAAACAAACAATCGTGACTATATCTAGGCTAGTAGTTAGTCTAGAAGTAGGTTTCACAAGTGGCCACAAGTATAAACCATGGGCCACGGTCTAAAGTATGCAACAGACTTTTTGCAAACCGATGACTAAAAGTTGTCGTAAACCGATGACTAAAAGTTGTCGCTATTGATGGGAAAAAATCTTGTGTAATTGATTGTAAAAATGTATCTACATACAACTGAATGAACATGTCCCCGCCCTCATTCTAGAATACTATATAGTGTACAGGGTGGGCCACCTTTTTCATTTTAATCTCAGTTTCTTATTTTTAATGCAATCCCTTAAAATTGTATTACCCTGTGTGAGATTGACGTGGATGTTTTGTGGTATTAAGGTTAGTTATTTTTTAAGGATTTTGTGTCACGATATTGTTCATATGAATATGTTAACATTTTCTCGAATAAAAATCAAATGCGATAGAACAGAAAATGCGTTTTTAGAATACGACTCCTATTTTTGAAAAAAAAATTAAAAAATTGATATTTTACAAATTAAAATGCATATCCTCCTCTGGTTGCTTTTAACTAAAAAAAGACTAAAATAGACTTATCGTGTGATAAAACAATTTTGATGGATTTTTATTTCAGTTAAAGCAGTACGTACTACGTACAATCATGCAATTGTATTTTAATATTACAAGGTCATACATAATTTGACAATGAATTAGTTTAAAGTGATAATATAGGCAAAGAGACATGTAGAAAAATGAAAGGTCGAAAAAGGTAAATGTTTAAAAACTCTGTGTTAAAACGTATTCTACCCATTAAACCTAATCATCTTTGTTCATTATATTCAAGAACTAGAAATGTACGGCTCCCCAAGTTCTTCGGCCAGCGATCTGCATAGTCTTTAGTGCTTTGTACTCTTGACTGTAAAATGACTTCTCATCATTATTTTGGATCGAATGCTGAACGGTCGAAGACGCCGGAATATGCCACGGGCAAATCTAAATTAGATCACTAAGAGGAAGCTCAAATTAATGACTTGATTAATTCTATACCGCTTGATCAGAAACTTTCTGACGTTTGAAAAAAAATATGTTGGTCGAGTTTTAGGATATCGCAAAGAACTGCAAATGAGGAGTTGTTGAATTGCAAATTACTAATTTAGCAGACTAAAGTATACATGTATATATTTAAATTATTAATTACGAATCACTTAGATGCTTTGTAAATTGTTTATGAAAAATGAGTTAATATGGATGCGAAGGGCTCATGTTTAATTGCAATGTGGAGTAAGTGCCCTCTCAAATCAAGGTCATTTCCGATGTGCAGCGCGTGACTTGGGTATGTAGTTAATTCTACTATGACTATAACATCGTAACTTCATTGGGATTATTAGAGACACAACACAAAATTTATTTGCAAAGAAGAGCTTGTTGGAATACTGGCGATGGAGTATTCACTAATAAAGGATTTAAGCCCTGGACTCTCAGTGCATTGTTTGCTGAATCATACCACGAAGGTGTTGTTTCAAAACCTTTGCATGACCGCGCAGCGGGAATGCAAAGTTTAGGAAACAACGCCTGAGTGGAATGAAGCAGCTACAATACATTGATTCTTGGGATTTTCACACATTGCAATTTTTCCTACAAAATCATCCGAAAGGAATCAAATCACTAAAAGAACACATTTTCAATGATTGTCAAGTTGGCAAGTCATCAAATCCAAGGTGAAAAATACATTCATTACCATGAAAACTATTTAACTAGTGACCGTGCATGTGTTATTGATATTTCACACACTGTTCTATATGTGAAATACTGTCTTCGGATTGGCTGAAATCGGACACACCTTGCCTAGCTATGTGTGAATTTGTCTTTATCACTAGCATTGAGTTCATAATTTTAGTCCTGTATATTTCCAGCAACTAAGACTTGAAAATCGCAACACTTCATTGGGATACCCTTACAATGTTACTGCAGCTGCTATCCACAATGGCGGAGGGGATAAATTGTCAAAATGAAGTGATCTTTCGCTTGGTTCTCGCCCGAATACTCCGACCCTCTACACCCGCTAATGTTTTTTCAATTTTATAGCTCTTGTCGTAGGTGGCCGTTTAATACATGTTTTACCAGCTTTTGCAATGACTATTTTTTAACTATTTTTGTTTTATGATTCTATTCAAATTAAAATCCTGGTAGAAAATCACTCTAAATCATCGCTATGTCAAATTATAGCAAAGCTCCGAACTGGAGCAGGAATTTACGACAACAGGCCAATTTCTAACCTGGACATTCGACTTCAGTTTTGATCAATCATAAAAGAAGAAAATTCTCATGAAATCCACGTCCAATTATTTACCTATTCGAGTAGCAAATACATGCTAACCTCTGTCGGCCATTGTGGATAACGGCAACTGCTGTTTGCGTTTTAAAATTGAACAGTGGCCTTAATTTTTCACAATTGGTTCTTGGAAATGAGAACGTAATAAAAGAAAATAGGAAATATAAATTACAAATAAGACAATGGGTCTATTGTCACACTAAAGATTTGTCTTATCGAAGACAAGTACCCAATCAGTTCGTAGGAGTTTCCACATCTGATCTGTAGTAGTTCTCCTGCAAAGTGCTCAATCCAATAGATATTCAAAGTATACATCTCGTGAATTTATTTTGCAAAACTTAGATATGAATGTGTGACGTACTTTTCCTGATCATGTGAACACTTCGTTGGCCATTAAGGTGTCTTGTCCTTCAGAGCTCTTCAAATAGGCTCACTTACTGTAATTGAGAGATTCCATTTAACCAAACCATGATAAAACCTTAATTAGTGACATCGTGTACTTTAATATAGTCTAGGGATTCTTTAAAGGTGACTGAAATTAGCCAGTGTAATTAGAAGTTAATATAGCATGAGTATAAAAGGTTATTAAAATAATTTCCACTTTTTATTTTAAGGTAAATGGGACACCGCGATAATGTTAGCTAATTGTGAACTTGAATTATGTTTAGTAATTAGACTTCATCTAGTTTCTGGTCGTCTTTCCATCTATTCCCCGACATTTGTTTAAGAGAGAAATTATAATGGCTATACTATAATGTAAAGAACAATCCCGAGAGAACGACTGGATCCACGTGGAGTGGTGATCTAGATTAAGAATCGTCAAATGTTTTTAGCAATATGCAGCGTGACATACAAAAATGCACACGTAATGTTTCATAACATTTTGTCAGCATGAAATCTGACTTGCCCTCTATAGCACAGTTGAACTATACTCCTTGGAGCAGCCCGCAAAAAGTTTAAGATGACGAGCTCAATTAGATGCACCTTAATGAGCGTTACAAGATATGTCATCTATTCCTTTACAGGCATACCTGGATTCTTAACTAAATATGCCACCCACCTTTTGTAGTTCATGTATTTGTAAACAAGTTATAATGATTTTATTGATGACAACCATATCATGATCTTGTGTTTAATTATATTGGGTTTCTTTTCCTAAAAAAACAAGCAAAAGATATTAGTATTTACAAAACTATGTTATAAAAGGTGGGCGGCATTTTTTGTTAAGAATCTACATGTAGATGTGCCTGCAAATGAATGGACGACATTTAGAGCACATACTTTAACGCTCATAAAAGTACATCTAGTTGAGCTAGTCATCTGATACTTCTTGTGGAGTTGCTCCATGGAGTCCAGATTTAATGTGTTAAAGAACAATTCAGATATAATGCAGAGAGAAAAGTTATGAAACATTATGTGGTTGGCATTTTTTGTGTGTCACCCTGTATTAATGCCGAGTAAAATATGATAAAGCCTGGATTGTCTTTCGTGTATTTAGAACATATGGTATATTTCCGTAGATATGCCAATAATTCCAACGATCATTTTTTCCAACTATCGTCACATCATTGAAATTCTATTTATCCCTCAAATAATTGTACTCAAAATGGATTTGAGGAGGGCGTACTAACCATCTCAAGCAGTTCGAGGGATATGTGTACAAAGTTGGAGGTTATAATGCAATATTAGTTAATACGCTAATTGATTTTCAATGAGTTTATTTACTTATACTCATTATGTTGTGTTGGATTACAACATTATTTACAACTTATTGAACTATATACGTCAAACTGCAAACTTGTCGATAAAGGCTCAATTCATATTTTGTTCATCTATTTCCAACTTTTTAAAGTCAAGTACCATCGTCTTTGAAACTGAAATGTCATAGTAGAATTGTGGTCTTATTAGGGTCGTCCAAAATTCCAAAGTTCTGTAATGAGAATAATCGAAAGGCAATTGGTTGGCATGTGTCCTTGCCTTATTCTCTTATTTTTTCAAGTTCTTTTGCCCTTCCGAGCACAGTACCACCCTAGGCTCTCACTTCTCTTCTTTGTGGTACCTCGATACGTCTAGATGGTATTTGGGTACAGCACCTCGTTCCCAGGAATGGCTAGGCCTAATACTCAAATGTCAAAAGTGTCCATAGTATATCGCCCAATGTACGATGCGCAACTTACTTCGTGCCTATCATATGAGTCGTCGTGCCTATAATGCACGGGGGTAAAGCAGACCCGATGATGCAATGAGCTTGCTCGGCGGTATCATGACTGTGTAACGGGTCTTAATGTATAAGTGTGCTCGGCGGTAGGTTCAAACAACGCGGATCCTCAAAGCATGTGCTCATGGTATATTCGTGTTTTAACACCCGTGTATAATGGCTAGGATCGTCGTGTATGGGATACTTGATTCTAAGCGGAATGCCCATATGAACTGAATAGTACTCAATTTTTTGTACTTAGGCCCAGTGACTTGTAAATGGTGTCTAGCATTTATATTCGTATGTTTTTATGATATTATGGTTTTGAATTAAATATCTAACTTGAATAATTAGATAAATCAAGTTAAAGGAATAAGAAGAGAGAGAAATTGTATTTAATATTTCATATAATATTTTATATTCAAAAACCATGCCAATGTACAATTCCTTATATTCCGAATTTTACTTTCTGAAAAAGAAGTCTGATTAAATCTATTGAAGATATAAGATGCAGAAATGCCACAATTAATTGAAATTGAAAAAGGGGGACGTCGCATCCCTTTACCAGATAATGATGATTAGCTTTTTAAGGCTTATCCCAAAGTAAAGCCAGAGCTCGTCTTTATCAACTTCACTCCTGCACAACTGCACAAATATTATCAACTCCACAACTGCACAAAGGAATAAAAAATATCAAAAATTAAACCTCGAGCTTATCTACAATAAAAAGTATTAATTAAAAATCAAAATGCCCATCGATTCCGCAAAATCAAAAAGAGTGAACTAAGAAAGGTTTCGCAGAGTACACTTTCTAAGTTAGGATGTACGATTCATTCATACATCCTCGAAAGTGCGACCTTATTTAGAGTTATTCGAGTATACATTGATAAAGATTGTCAGTAACCTAATATTATGCACTTACATATAATAAGAAGCCATTATATTTTACTAAAGTAACGAGGCAAAGAAATTTTGAATGAAATAAAAAACGTGTCAATGAAGTTATTCATAACTTCACCAAAAATAAAAATGCATTACATCAAAATTTAACGAACATATTCGAATATTCGAAATGTTGTATGACTCTTTAAAAGCTTACCTTTGTATGTGATAGATGAAAAGCGGCGTGGCCAAGTGAAGATACTGGTTGGAATCATTACTGTCCTAGGTCTGGCGATGTTCATCCACATAGCCTAGTATTTATAGTGTCTCTTGTCCACGTAATTACCGACGCTCTTAATGATTAGCTAACAAGTGATTGGCATCGAGTTATTAGACAATGGATCTTCTTCGGGCTTCTTAGAAGACCGTCTCTGGCGAATAAGAATGGTATTCTGGTCTCTGACACCAGAAATGTCGTAATATACTGATGTTTTAATTACGACTTGAAAAACAACTTTCGGTAGTGTCAATAGTGTTACACTTGTAGGTCTTCGCGTCTCTGGATGATGGACGTATCCCGTTTGCGTTCCTACGATTGCCGTATAAACATCCCGAGTTGGGTAAATGATCTTAAGATCAAATTTCAATTAAAATTATTAATATTAATGTCGCTCGTGTTCCGCTTATAGATTCTTATTAAGGTTATAGACAGTTCCGTCGAAAAACCTTCGCGTTGTCTGTCCGTGTTCTATGATCCAATTAGTTTTCTGTGCTCTTTGCGGTTTGGTATGTCCTTCATCGAGATGTCGTGGTTTTAAACTATTTCTTTGCCTCCCAGTCTTTTCCCATTCAACCCGTACCAGGCCGTCGATCTTATACGATGTACGTTGGATGCTTAATTGAGTCAAGTTTCGAGACACTAACCGTGCGCAAAGAGAGTTCGATGTTGATTGTTTGTGGGCATGTCTCAAAAGAAAATGTTTAACTAGCCTCTATTATAGAATAAGTCTGCGCTATTATGTAAGCGATTAGAGACTAATTTTCATATTACGTACAAGGTACAAGCAAGGACGTCTATCTCGAGATAGACGTCCTTAGTGCAAGCAATCTAACTCAGATTACGCAACATGCTCGTTAATAAGTCAACAATCCATTTCAACAATACAAATTAATTAGCCATGGGGATCACGTTTAAACAATATTTTCACACTTTATTTGTCTATCTACAGGTGGCAAATGCACGGCCAATAGACAATATACATGTCGCGCTGAAACAAGTTCCTTTGTACTCTCGCTACGTAGCGTCCAAACGCAAGCTGCAAATAAGATCTGGAATGGTTCACAAGAATCATGATAAATAATAAATTTCCGAGAAAATATAGGCATAATTGAAGGAAAATAAAAATTCAGACTTTAGAGATGCTTTTAACTCAAATATGAAATATCTGAATGGGAATATACCTAGGCAATCTAGGTCAAAGATTAGCTGGCATTAGACTTTGCTCCAGTATTGAAAGATGTTATCTAATTTCAATAAAGTAGTAAAATTTTACGAAGTATCATAACTGCAATAACAAAACAAAACAAGATACAACAAGATGTTCCAACACATTAGAATCGTGTAGAAATAATCTTGAAATAGATAAGTTTACTACTTACTTATTTCGTGAAAAGTTATCTGGTCACGTGTTTAATAATATCATCAAATATCAGTCGCAGTTATGCGTGTTTCTCTTTATTTACAGGATGGCATCAAAACAAAACGAAATGTTTCATATTAGTTTGTTGGCAATTCCGCAAACGAAATGTTTTGCTTTTCATAAGCTCTCGAGTGACTTCAATAATAAGGATGCGTGTTTGCATTAGCATCCGTTACTTTCATTGTTTATCACAATGTATTACGATTGACACACTTTTTTATCCAAGATTGTTTAGGGAAAGATCAGTCACACTAATTGTTTATGTATTAACCCTGGCGAAAACATGTTTGCTGTAAGTTAAAGAGACAATTGCTAAAACATGCGTATTATAAAACTTAAAGAGACATGCGTTGATCTCAAAGTCTACAAACGACGTGACTGTCTTGCAAGTACATATGAGTGAACACTAAGCGAATGAGCGAAGCGAATAGCATTCTTGGGGTTCTTTCCCGGTTCTTTGAGGGAGTTATGATCTTAAGATGTACAAACGACGCGAACAACTGTCTTGCATGAACACTAGTTAAAGACTTAGAGCGAACAGCCTTCGTTGTAGGATTATTTGAGGGAGCCATGATGTCAAAATGCGTAAAGGACGCGGCTGTTTTGAAGTATTGGAATGAACACTAATTAAAGAGCGAACAGCCTTCTTGTAGGATTATTTGAGGGAGCTTTGATGTTTCAATTGGGAGAGGGTATTTCACGCCTAACCATCGACAAGGTACAGAAACAAAATATACCGTAGTACACTTTAGATGTACGATGTCACTATGTAATCGATTTGAAGCAAAGGCAATGATGCAGGTGTGATTTAGGTTTTAAAAAAGATTTCATGTTTAATTTCGTGTGTTTTCGTTTAGGAAGACATTTATTTAACTTTCTAATAACGTTAAAAAGTTTTCGAACAGTGCTCTGGTCTCATAAAAATCTTCGTCACTCTTAGACAACAGGGGAGGAAATGATAAAAGGAAATGTGTAAAAACACAACATTTTCCAAGCGACCAATTATATGGGTAGATTGACGACGAAAAAATCGAGCACTATTCGAAAAATTAAACATGAAATCCGTAATGCATTCCTCAGATTATTTTTTTAAAACCTACATCAAACCTACAGCATTGCCTTTGCTTCAAATCGGTTAAATAGTGACATCGTATATCTAAAGTGTACTACGGTATATTTTGTCACTGTACCTTGTCGATGGTTAGGCGTGTATTTAATACAGGGAAATATTCCTTCTCCACAGGCGCAATACCTCTGGTAGCAATTTCACCGACGTCGGTAAATTCATATGTTATATAATAGTTATATAATATTAACAGGCCATTTGTCTACTTCACGTGATAAAATCCTTGTCTGGATAGTTGTTGCACGATTGTGAATTTATGATGTTTATGGTGTCAGACATTCCTCAGTGATTCTATAATCAGTGTTTATGTAAAGTACTTGCATAGTTTGTCGAATCATTCGAATTATAAAATAAGGAAATAATTTGCATTGAACACATAAGTAACCCAAGTGCCTTATATTCTATTCTAAATGAAAGATTTAAATTGAATAAACAGAAATTAAAAAAGCCTTGTGCCGTATCTCTGAAGTGTTTCAACTTGAAAGTATATATTTGTCACACTAATCAATATCAAGTGAAGAAAGGTCGTGTATTACCCAAATGGTTAACATCAAGTGATAAGTCATTCGCTATTTTTCATTTAAACATATTAATCAAATTATAAATAATGAAGTGAAGAGAAAACATATTATTGCAATGATAAATATATCTAGGCCTATTGATTAAACAACTCAACAATCGATATACATTTGGAAAGAAAGATGTTGTTAATCTTATCATTATTTGTATGAACATTTAATAGCATGTTTACAAGTGGCGTAGTTTCATCAAACAAAATTTTGAATGCAGAATTTTCATAAACTTTACTTATCTCACAAGCTTACCATTCATTCGCTAAACCACGAAATATAATTGAGAGATTCGATTCTAGCTTTTTTCTAAAACTTACCTACACGTTATTATGACGTGCAAGGACCTGGGGACAATTCGGGAAATGCGGGCTGATCTCAGCTTTGAGCGTTAATCTCTGCCTCATTTAAAAAGCTAACTATGTGTTTTATATATCTTTTTGAAGTATTTTTTATTTGCATTTCAGTGAACTTATTTTTCCTTCAAAATTTTGATGGGATCCTACATATTTTTAAGGTTAAATATACCCCGACATCGTCAAATACGCTGTAAGACGTAACACTGCGCTTACGGGGCTCGGATAACTTTTGAAATAATGATCAAAATCCCACTAAAATTTCACATTTTATTAAATCGAACATGTGCATTTATGACGTCACAATTGCTTGACGGCTACAGTTCAAATTATCTTAAAACGGAACGCTTTTAAAAATTTCAAAATTGTGTAAGGTTTTGAAGGCGAATGGGACGAGCAATAAGTTTACCTTCATTTAACCTTCTAATTTAGGCCTGATTTGAAAGAAAAATTAACTGCACAATATTGTCATGGCGAAATTTACAAAACAATAACCAGTTTGTTTATTTTGCAAATAATATTAAAATAAGAGCTGGTTGTCTCCAGGTCTCAAGCCAAATTGTTTGGTGGATTGATCTAAACATTTTAGGGATGTTTCTTGGTATAACATTTTATAACTGATTAGTTATTCGGCGTTCTGGGTAAACCCTAATCTTAAGGATTTTCCATCCTGAAATCTTGTCCGTAAAGTCTTCTCTACATGTTTCGCGTCAAGCCGCTTCATGGATCAGCCTTGAATTTTCAGGGATGTTTCTTGGTATAAAAATTTACAGTACAATTGCTCAGATTTGGGCATTCTGGGAAAATTCTTAGTGGCCATTTTTGAGGTTTTGTCCCGAAAACTTATCTTTTAAGTCTTGTTTACGCGATTCCAACCAAAATCTATGGATGATTATCCATGAGTGTGGGGTATATGTTGTAAATAGTCCAGGAGTAAACGACTGAAACACATTAAATTCTCAGAAATTTAGCTGGCCATAAATATTGTGTCAGTGACAGAACAGATTATCTTAATGTTTCAGTTTGAAATTCTATATCTCTGTTCATATGAGTATACTAGTAGATAGAATATCTGTATCAGCTATTTGAATGTGAAAGCAACTTTTAATACGTGTAGTTCAATGCAGAGTTTTTACATTTCAATTAGACCATAGGCATAGCCATGGGGGGGGGGGGGGGGGTGCAATTGGCGATCGCACCCCCCCCCCCTCCCATAACCAATAAAATATAACCATGAGAAGAAAAGAGCTTTGGAATGCATTTTATTTGAAGCTTCTAGCTCACTTTATTATGAAGGAAGTTGCATAAATTTTTGAAAAATTCAAGATACAGTAAATCTTAATTATTGGCTTTTTATGCCACAATCGCATCCCCTGACTGAAAATAGAATTTTTTGGGCGATCGCACCCCCCTGCACTGACTGAAAGCTGGCTACGCCCCTGTAGACATTTCCATTCTTAAACTTCATATCCTGCAAATTCCTATATATTAGGCAATAAAAGTTCTATCTGCATAATATCACATTGTGATCTAGATAGATAACTAGTTTGACTGACTGATATTCATTTGCCTTCATCATGTTATTTGGCTTACAATAGCCAGGATTTTGTGACTGGGAGGGTGGTTCATTTTTTAAATTCATGCAAAAATACTTCCCCACCCTCCCCACACTCAAATTACCTCATCTTACATTAAGTAATAAAGGTATCATAATTTGATCATTGTGGAATTTATTTTATGAAAGTTTAAGATGCAGAAATTGGTCATTGGTCTTTAATTGGTCTTTAAAAAATAAAAGTATCTTGTATCATTATGAAATAAAATCACAACCATTTTTTAGGGATAAACATGAAGTCCCATGAGCAAAAGTATTCAAAACATTTTCAAAGTCGTGAATTACTTATAACACATATCTAGACTTAGATACCCTTTGAGACAGTAATCCATTTAGGCTCATTCTATTTTCAAGATGACATCTGAATTCAACTTAGTTTTGAAGTGTGAACTAGGCATGAAGTATTAACTACCCTAATAAATTAATAATAATCTCATGTTTATTTGGTTTTAACAATGGCCATTGTCTCTATCAAAAAATATAATTATACCAAATGAAATTTGGTACTCCATATTCCATTTTAGAATATTTAACTTGAAACTGGAGTAAATATTATATCTGTCTCTGGGTAGTATAATACATGTATTGTATACTAGTAACATCTTAGATAGTCTTGAATACTTCAAAGAACACCAGATATTTGCCTTTAAAAATACATTGAATCAGACTGCAATCTGTCTATGAGTGGAGGACAGTGAATTCACTCTAGACTAAAACCAAGAAGACAAACCCATAACTTACATCTTATCTAAATAATCTGTCAACTTAAATACTAACGAGTTTTCCAGAGCTGATCAGATTTGATCAGAACTTTGCAGTTATCTGGAGGACTATAAATACAAGTTGTGCCCTTGTAAATACGACGTTATTTTACTTGTTTATGGCTTCGCGCAAATCTTAATACATATTTGACACCTAACTAATTGATTGATTTTGCATTTTATAAGGTTTTCCAGTGACATAGTGTAATAAATACATATATTTGCAAAGTTATACATCATGGACTTTACATGTGATTCATGACATTTTCACAAGTTCACTTCAATTCCAAACAAATTTTTGCGGTTAAAATATTGTAAATCTGGATATGACAGCGTTTGGTAAGTCTCATTTAGTTAATATTCAAAATACATAATAATAAGGCACTCAATGTAATCGGATTAAATTTTGATGAACTTCGATATGATGAATGCGTTAATTATGAATACTATTGATACGCCATGCTTCATAAAGATACTAATTGTTTAACGACAAAAATGCTACAATAATATTAAGGTTCAATACCAGATGTTACAATAAAAAGCACATTTACAGACATTGCTGAACAGTTTAATCCAAACGTTACAAAATTGTCCATCTTTGTTTCTGGTGGGTTTTAATTGAAAGCAATTCCTCGGTCGAGTAAACGAGATTTATGCATTATATGTAGCCATTCGATCCCCGGAAATGAAAACGTAAGCAGTGACGTATGTCATACCGTACCCCTAAATTACCTTCTTTGCTTCTTCGTATGTTTGTATTATATTATAATATAGTAAGATATGTAAAAGAAAAGGAAACGTATTTACGTATATTTTATACCCGATTTTATACAATACCACCCTTGATGGTCTGTATCTGAGGTACAGTCCAAGTATGGATATTATCAAAAAGCGATATAATTGTATTTTGGTCTCTATTGATGACATTTTTGCTCACATAGCGATGGATCTAATCTTGTAATTTACACCCACTTTCACCTCTTGTTTCTGAGAAATATCACATTGCATAATACGCATGCATCATTTGTTGTGTGTCCAAATCATATATACTGTAACAGTGTATAATATGTTGTAACAAACGCATCGGTATCAGTTTCAGCTTCCGGTTTAGCGGTTGGGCACACAATTTGACCTTTTTTCAAAAATTAGTATAAGTAATCACCCTATGAGCATACCAAAAGGAGCTATTTTTGTATTAAAGTAATCTATCTATTCATACATTTATATCTTAAGTTTTCAAATCGTACAGTGTCTTGGCTCCCATATTACCTAAGATCAAAATAAAACACAGTATTCACACCTAATATGGGTCTCAACAAAAATACAGTCTTTGAGGTAATTTTCCTTTGTGTTTTCGACATCCTTTATATTTTCTAATTGTATAAAGGAACACATCAAGAGGAATGCTTGAGACAAACAAGTATCCTAGTTGATGGACAAACATTTCTTAGAGATGATCTACTGCAATTATTTCAATATGCAATCAATAAATTCAATCAATTTCTAATAAAGACAGTTGATAGTTGATGGATCTGTATTTGAAGACAGGAACAGCCATATGCATTTGTTTAATATATCACAGAACAAATAAGAACGATTCTTCTGAACAATAAACCAATTTTGTGAAATAATGCCCGATCAAACTGGAGTAATTTTTACGAAACTGTGAATGACATGAATTTACAAAAAATAAAAAATGGACATTTAGGAATGATCGTGAAAGAGTAGTCTTGCTCCAAGACTGTGGACCTGACTCCTATTTTAACAGCACAGTAGTTAGAGTAGAAGTCCAGGGTCTTTAAGCAGGACTAGCCTAATGTAAGAGATTTTGAATTTGTTTGATTCCAAAGTATTTGCCAAAATTGGATATGGCCTGAGTACTAACAACGTGTTTTGAAGTTTCTGAAGTAATATGTATCCGATATTACGTCACATGAATTAATGCCATGCTCTTTCAAATTTCAGTGTATGCGTGTTTTGTACTACTTGGCGTTGAGACGCTTGGGAACCAGGGAAGTAAGATCTCTGTGGTAAAACGAGATGTAGAAAATAAAAATGACCCAATGTATATCGTCCCAAAATATGAACGGCGAAAAATAGAATTGAATAATATAAAACAACATATCAATAAATATGACACAGATCAACTATTAGAGCACCTAAGCAACCTGGTCCCAGACCTCCAGGCATTCTTAACTTTGGAATTACCTCCAAAATACAGAAACAAGACACTCAACGCCATATCTACATTAGAATCTATCCAGCTATTAAAAGAGCCATTTGCTAGATTTATCAAAACATTAACGCGACAAATGGAGATCTTAGTCAGGAGGGATGAGGAGGAGGGAATCCACGAATTAATTAAGACACTAAAGACGTGTATGGTTAATCGTTTATATTATGGTATAGGTGATCTGGGTGTGTCCATCACCACTTCAATGGAACTAATGGAAGAACTAGGAATAGTTAACAAAACAGACGCAACTGATGATAATGGAGAAAGGCTTAATATTGCAATTACAAAAACTTATTATAATTTGATGAGATGGAGAAAGAGGCTAAACACTATAAAAACACGGGTGAATGGCATTCACTTAACCGCACCACCGAGATTTCTATGCCCAAGTAGACGAGGTAAAGAATTTTATTTTTGTTGGAGTATTTCATCAAGATCAAGTCCATTCACCCCCCCCCCCCCCCACCTACAATACCTACGTGTATGTATTGGAGAGGATATCATAATGGCATGAAGCAAGGTTGTTTGTTTCAATTCAGAAAACCATTTTCATCCTTCGTGAAATTCAAATTATATCAATAAAAATAGAAATACAAACCATTTATACGTGCCAGTGGCATTATTACGTGTACAGACAGCGACGAGAGATTAAACTTATTTTGTAAAAATGACAGCTAAAGTTATCCGGCTGACAAGTAGCTTCAAGACCATACGTAATTAATATATATTGTGTATATTTCATTTTGTATTATACATTTTTAAGTGGCAGCCAAACAACTCATGCCACCTATTCCAAAAAATGGAAGGAGACTACAAGCTGATATTTGTAAATTGATGTATAGCTTCCAATGTATTCCTGGGTATAAGCGTATAGGGAGATCCTTCATAGACCTTACCATGGAACCTACCCCCGATGAAATTGATGAGCCTACACAATGCATACGTATGTATATTGACAATAATGTATTTGTTGTACATAAACTTAAGATAGACTAAGCATTGTTATTTGACGTTAATAAAATGTTTTAGGCCCCATATAAAGTTTAAACCACTTTGGCTTATATTGTTGTTTTACCTTATGATATCAAAATGTGTTTGGATAACTTTTTTTTAATTCTAAGAAGTGGACATTTTGTATGCAAAATCGTGAATTTACATTAAACTAGATTTTAAAGGTCACACAATCTTTACAGTTAAGAAGCTATGATTTACACTATTGTATGCAGTCATCCTCGCATGTTTTGATTGTCAAAAAGATTAAGAACATTGGTTGATAGATAAGCGAGAAATACTCATTCCACGGTCGGTTTGGCGCCTGTAACAAATGGCAGGTGTGACATTTTGCAAGTCGGAGCCTAAGTTGATACCAGGACCTCATTCACTCAAATTATTGTTAAACACCATATTTAAATATTGCATGAACTAAGTTCACTTCTATAGTTTTTACTCCGTTCAAATGTTCTATAGATAAATGTTGCGCCATGTTGACGAAAAACTGTATTTGTTAAGTATTTTCTATTTGTAGTCACAAAGACATACTCATTTAAAGTAGGTTATATTTATTGACTGGCGTTTTAAGTAAATTAATCACAGCTGAAATAAATGACACTTCGATGAGTTCGATGCTTGTCATTTTTAAAATTATTTCAATGTAAAACCTATCTATTTAATTCTATACAAAAACACATGGAATTTGAAATAATGTATTGTCTATAATATGACAATTTCAAGAAACCAAATCACGGACACTTAAAACACGGTTGTAATATACAATTTATAAAGTAAAAATTAATCATCTTCACGGCAAGAATAACTTTGAATCATACGAAAATCAAACATATGGATGATAGAATATTATATCTATTCAATGAAAAGAGGGGTCGTACTTTGAGTTGTCCAGGGGACAAGTTGTCTAGATGTTGAGTTGTTTGTACGCCCACGGCTTCCCATGATTCTAATTAATTATTGCAAGTATAACTGGAGAACCACTGGGGTTAATGATTATCAGGGTATGAGTGATGTTATGTCTCTATTTTCTTGCAACAACAATACGAAATAAATTTCAAGTATTCTGAAAGGGTGGTTGGTGGTTGGCGTCTGTAACAAATTCTTACAACTCCCAATAACTTAACAACTGTTTAGACTGTCTTCAATTTATTTCAAAATCATCGACAAGCTCTCAGAAGTTCAAATCCGGCTTCGATTTGAGATTTGACCTTTAATGACCTTCTCAAGGTAAAAAGGTAAAAAAGCTCTTTTTTCAACTTGTTTAAAATTGACCGATTTCTATCAAAATAATCTATAAGTTTCCAGATATTCAAATCTGATTTTTCGATTTCAGACTTGACCTTCAATGACTTTCTCAAGGTAAAAAAGGTCAAGAAGGTCTTTTTCAACTTGCCTCGAGTTTACCATTTTATTCAAAATCATCTACAAGTTCTCGGGTGGTGACATTTTGTCATGTTCGTGCCTTGTTGAAAAATGTGACTTTTTATGTCTATATTTGTTTATTTATAGCAACTGCTCTCCGTTCATGGCCTTTGAACATTCGGGTAGGAGGAAGAAATCTGGCTGAAAACAAAGAGACAAGCGTCGACGTCCGGAACGTGAACCTTGATGATACCCAGTTCACGGATGGAATATCAGGTGAAAAGAATGGGGCGGTGAAATTAAACTACCTCGAGTGAGTGAAATAAAACAAATTATACAATCGGAAGCTATACTAATTGACAATTGATATGTTGATGTTAAGATAAAGTTAGATAATGAGATTATGACATCTGCAAAATCAATACATTAGCGGATATAGAGTATAAGCAACTGTTTACTTGTGTTAAACTTGTATTTATTTCTGCTTCAACATATACATTCAATGTCCTGTCAGGTCATATCAATCGCAGCTAATTGATAAATATATATTTTACAATGTGTTGAAATTTCAATCGACCAACAATCAATATCAATCAAACCAGATAAAGCTTATGGTGTTAATATAGGAGCCTCATTTTAAAACTGTATATATTGTATAAATTACATTCTCCTAGAATTCCAAATGACGGCGACCTTTCATTCAAGAGTTATTTCACTTGGATGGCATACATCAATCCAACAACTAGTGGCGATGTCAAAATACTCAAATATACAGTACAGGGTATTGACAAGCTCTGGATTGCAATTAAAGATTCTAAACTAGAAGTTGGGCTTGTAGCAACTAACCGAAAAACTTTCTCACTTTTGTCGACTCGTGAGATTCCGACAAACACGTGGACCCATATTGCGTTTGCTTTCAACCGTCGTGTATTGACCCAGTTCATCAATGGTGAAGAATTTACGTCCAATTATATCGGAAGTGTTTCAGCAGCATTGAGTTCAACTGACATATCACTTGGGGATCAAGGAAATTTCTTCGGGGTAACCTGTTTGAGAGTTTACGGAGCATCACTAGACAAAGATGGTATAGAAAAGCCCATGGATCTCTGCAAGCAAGGTATTTGTGATTTATCTTAATTTGCATAATTCAATATTTTCTTATTGTTTAAATGTCTAATATCTGATAACTATAGCTCGTACACTCCATCTTGATCTGGTTATAAAAACGTTACGTCTTTATAACTAAATGGATGAACTTCGGTCAGAAAACAAAATTATTTTCATCATTTTCAGGATAATTTGTAGCAAAATATTTTACCAGTATGTAAATAGTAACATCCAGTTACCAGGTAACTGAAAATCTAGTCAGCACGAGCAAGCATACCCAACTGCTCCAATAATCGAGTTAGAATTTCTCACTCGGGTTCTTACTTCAGTCACCAGGACGTGATGTGGCGAATTTCATAACGTCTTGGTTGCGTTGTGTCAACGTACAATAACGTCCTGGTTGCTGAAGTGGGGAATTCTTACTCGATTATTGCAGCTACTGGTTATATTTACGCGTGACTGGCTAGTTTTTCAGTAACCAGATGTTTTTTATCAACAAAATATTTAATAAAATATAAGGTAAAATATTTGGATACAAATCGACCTCATTCTTGGTGAAAATGATGAAAATGAAGATGTCCTCCGACGGAAGTAGTCCATCCATTTTGTTATGAAGACGTAACGTCTTTATAACCAGGTGGGAACCAGTGAATATAACCACCTTGGAAATGTTGGAAATGAATGAGAATGAACAAGAATGCGTAGACTCGATTCTGATATTTATCATGACACTTTTCTAACACGTGACGAATATCTGAGTGAAATTGCCATTGTATACAATGACGCGTTCATTCACGATTTTTGAATTTTTGTGAATTTTCTCACTTGTTTCATTCAATTTTTATTCTCTTGTAGTTTTAAGAGAGTAAATTACAGTGATGTAACACGGTGCGTGCATAACTGATTTAACAAATTTTGTAGTTGTTCACTGGGTTCATTTATATTAAATTTTATTTCCATGAAGTTTTAAAGAGTAATTACATCTTCTTCCAGCATCTTTACTACACCTTAGACGACAAGATCACTCAGCGAATGATGTAGACGGAAAAAGTGCTCGTGAAGTACAAATATACCAAGCAATTTCATTCCAAGATATTGCTGATGTTGGTGACAAAGCAGATGGTACGATGGGATCAAAAAATAAAATTTCAAACACTTTCGTTGGACCACAAATCACATGGCTTGGAAAAGTTTATACTGACGACATAGATGCTACTCTCCCCCTTATAGACTTCTCAAATGATCTCGAATTTGGATTTCATATATGGTTACTGGTAGGAGGTGGTCTTATTGTGAGGGTTAAACATTCTGCAGTGGCAGATGATAATGATGACTTTACAATGAATGTGAACGCGAGTCTTATCACCGAGTCAACCTGGACTCACATCGGATTTACATATGACGGGAATACAGGAGAGGCATTCCTGTACATTGATGGGGAAGATGTTGAATCGACGCCATTATCTAAAATGGACGTCGTGATCGACGCTCAGCAAGGCTATGTTGGAAAATCTGGTCGCAGAGATCTTTCCTTCAACGGAAATATTTCCTGTAGCGCAGTCTATGATATTGTACTGTCTCAGACAGAAGTAGAACTGATGAGTAAGCAGTGTCAAGGTATGTATAGAAGGTAATTTGTTCTCTTCATGACCGCCTTGGTGACACTTTTGTCATGAGGCAATCAAACAATGTCCTTGCATGTTTTGACAGACTGACTGAGTATAATGAAATGATTAATAGAAATACGAGATGATTAAAGGCAGACTGGTATGCAATGATACACTCATCACAGTTGCAAACCATGTTTTAACATGAGTAAATCGATATTAATTAGCAAAATCCTTATCTAATCCAAATGTGTCACGTGTGGCGTCGCAATTATTGTTTGTTTTTGATATATTGGTGTTTATATTTGACCAGTTATACTTTTAATGTCCCTTTATATAACTATATGACTATTGCGAATATTAATGTGAACTTGCGACATTACGAAAATGTGTTTGAAAAGTATAATCAATTTGTCTGTAGTCGTTGTTACACCTTTAATTTTATGTACATTCTGTTGTTGTTGTAGAAGGTGCAGAAAAAATTCAATTTGATGAGGAATTTCTTAATTGTGGACCACCAATACCTCTTAAAAATGGTTCAGTATCAGTGGATGGTACATACTATAATGCTGTCGCTAATTACAGTTGTGACATCGGTTTCATCTTAAGTGCTTTTAGTGCTTCAACTTGCCAATGGGATGGAACGTGGAATGCAAAGGACACAAAATGTGTACGTAAGTATATACTTAAATATTGTCATAAAATGTTCAAATTTATTGGCAACAGTGTACAGGATATTTCACTATGTACGTATTCGCCCCCCCCAATCATAATAAGGGTTATGTGCGTATCTCCCGATGGAACATGGATCTAACGAGTCGCTTATATTGTATATTTGGTTTTCGGCTATGTAACATGTTGGCAAAAGATCAATTTCAATCTATAGAGTCAACCATATAAGGAATGACCTTGGATGCGGTGATTGGTTATATAATGCACTGCAGTTATATGAATTACTGTGTGTGTATTGGCTGGAATCGGACACTCCTTAACCGGCTACAGGGTATGAGTGAATCTAATATAACATCCACACAATATATGTTATATCAGCATCCTTATTACATGTTGCGCAAGATAAGTACTTCCACTTGGGGCTTCTACAAAGTATGACTTAAAAAACTTTTGTCTATTAAAATGTCTAAAAGATTACAGATTTCTGTGGTAGGCTCATTGTTACATTTTCACATTTAGCTGCAGAGTGCCCTTCACTTGAGGAAGACCCAGAATTGGAGGTAGTTTTTTCAAATGACAATATACACGGGAGTGTTGCGTCATTTAGCTGTCGCTCGCCTTGTGATGGAATTGTTGGCCCCAATGAAATTAAATGTTTGCAAACTGTCCCAGGAGAAGGCGGAGTGTGGAATTCCAGCATCCCTACGTGTTCTTGTAAGTTTCTGGCATTTATTTTCACTTGCTTAATTGATAACATGCTCTGGTCAAAAGCTTTCTAAACGACAGTTTTTCAATAGCAAAACAACGATACAATTTGGCAAGAATTTAATACCTCAAATTTAATATGTATCTCTGTTTGTATGATTCTGTATTAAATTTCGAGGTTATTTGTTCATTATTTTTGGAAGTTAACTTAACCTTATTCTGATTTTAGCAAAATATAAGGGAACCATTGAATTATTAAGTGACAAACCTACAATTTCATAAAATCTTTAATATTTCTTTCTAAAATTGAAAAAACAATAGGCGTATGAATTAAATCCAGGATAATATATCTGATAACAAGCTACATGTATGCATTATTCATTGTCATAATTATCTCAGTGATTTCGTGTGGAGTACCACCTGAGCCCCCGCACTCAACTGCAGTATACGACGAGACAACGTGTGGAAAGACCATGACATATGTGTGTGATAATTGCTACTCACTTAAAGGACCAACATTTTCGACATGTCAGAGTAGTGGCGAGTGGACAGACACAACAACTTGCGAATGTATGAACAGTTTTGCATATTCCTAATGGCATATTGCACTTCATTTTACCTCGTGGCCCGTTTTTCTTTTTTTCCATTATACTATATTATGATAATCAATTTGGTCAATTTACTACAGTTAGTGTGTTACATATTTTTGAAACATAATCAAAGCAAATTGCATGATCACTTTAAATTTGATAAAAATTCTATAAAAAGTTTTCCTGAAACCCCTGAGTGAACATAGGTTAATTGATTTATCTTCTTTAAAGAAATACGTGACCCGCCTTTCAGGTAAGCACTTACCTGTTTAGTGCTAGTCACTGTTTAGTTAATTGTTATGTGACTTGTCTTATTTTGTTTCATTCAGTGATAGAGTGCAACACCATCCCTGTTGCGCCACTAAATGGATTCATTAACATGGACAATAATAAATGTGGGACGATTGCAACATTTACTTGTTCAGATTGTTATGATGCTATCGGTTCTCAGACCACAACATGTCAAAGCAATGGACAATGGTCGGATGCTGAACCTGTTTGCCGAAGTGAGATAACGTATATTATGTAATAACGTATATAATATAATGTATATTATCATTCTTATGATGTATAACTGCGCATTCCTTTGCCACGCGTAACACTTCACGTGTATCCATCACATGGTATAATTAGAGACATGTGGAATTCTGTTTTTCAGTAAAAACATGTCCTGGTGTTAACTCTGGCTCTTTTAATAATGGCCAAATTAATACTACATCTAATACGTGTGGGACTACTGCAACATTCACATGCGATCCTTGCTTTGATTTGGTCGGGGAATCATCTAGAACATGTCAGAGCGACAGAGAGTGGTCATCGCCCGCACCAGTTTGTATAGGTATACAACATGACGTTCTATTTTGAAGTCTAGCTTTCATTTCAATTTGTATTTATGAATTAAACCTATTGATTAAAAAAACTGAGATCACCAGGACAACTTCAGCTAACATGTACATGAGCTAGAACTTACAGTCCATGGTGTAACAGAGAGAAATAATGAGATTAAATGTTTCGGCAACAATGAGAAATTTTAATTTACACGTACAGTGTACCTGTGTATATTGTGTTCTATATTTCTCTGATTCAGTGAAATCTTGCGGGATACCATCTGAACCCATACACTCATCAGTAGCATATGAAGATACAACGTGTGGCGAGACTGTTTCATACAGGTGTGACGATTGCTACTCACTTAAAGGACCAACGTTTTCGACTTGTGAGATAAATGGCGAGTGGTCTGATGCACCGATCTGTGAATGTATGAATAATTCTTTATATATCAAATGATTCATTGCTCTAGAGTTTCATCTACCTAGATGATGTGATAATTATACCGAGGAAATGCAGCTGGTATGTCAAGTAATGTCAAGACTAATTTTAATGGATTTCAATATATAATTTGAAATTTGGCAAATGATTTTGAAAACATGGCATTCTCCAAACTTTCAAAATTACCCTATGCAGATTGACCGTGCAGAAATCGCTCGATGGGGTATCATGAGCGGTTTTGGCCTACCTCTTTTCTAGAGCTGTGACTTAATCACTGTATTACCTGTTTGGTGATCCCTGTGTTGTCAATTCTGCCTATATGGCCAAGCCCGCAGGGCTTGGTTACCATAATGATGATTCAATAGTGAGGCGTTTTGTGACTTTTTCTTGTACAATACATATACGTTTTTGATTTCATTTCCCAGTGATTGCCTGTGGGGAGCCACCTGAACCTGCAAATTCAACTGCAGTATATGATGCGACAACATGTGGGGAAACTGCGACATATGCGTGCGAAGATTGCTATTTACTTGAAGGACCAACGTTTTCGACTTGTGAGAGTAATGGCGAATGGACAGAAACACCAATTTGTAAATGTATGCATTTTCAATTGATCTATCGCTTTGATTTTTATGTACATCATCAATTAAGAGATGTCTTTTTACCTATATTCCTTATTTCAAACAATGGCTTCATGATATTAAGGGAACTATTTCTGCATAGAACAAGAATATGTAAAAGGCACTTATGGCAACATTTGCAAAACAAAATAAACACTCATAGTGTATTTTCTTGCCATGTTCTGGAACAGTTTTTGATCCTTTCCCTTTGGCACTTGTGCATACTTATACAATATGTTAAACTTTCTAAATAATGTTCTATTTAGTGAAAGAGTGTAAAAATGTCCCAGAGGCACCAGCTGATGGATTCATAGACGTTAGTGGAAAAACATGCGGAACGGTGGCACGTTTCTCATGTTCCGATTGTTTTGTTCTTGTTGGCTCTCCAACAACAACTTGTGAAAGCAGTGGACAATGGTCACATGAAAACCCTATCTGTCAAGGTATAGATGGAATAGACTAATCCCTCAGTCACATTTGATCTACGGCAACCGTACGGCTGTCGTAGCTTCCAAATATGAAGGGAAATCTGCAGCATGAAATATAGGTATAAGCAGTACGATGTAGATTTTTTCTACATCGATTTTGTAAAGCTGCGGTCGCCGTACGCCCGCCGTAGTCCAAATGTGGCCAAGGCTTAATTATATCCATGGACCTTTTTCCCCGGTGTGATAGAGGTCCATGCTATATCACAGTGAGAAAAACATGCTTTTAGATTATTAAGTATTTTGCATTGAACTCCTTAAAACTCTACCCAAAGTTACAAGTATTGCCTAATTAGCCTACTATTATGTACTTAAAAAGAAAAAAATGAGTTGATATTCCCAACTACAAAATTGACAACTAGTCCTTTGATCCAGTTAAAACATGTCCTGACATTAGTGATCCATTCGAAAATGGTGAGGTTGACACAACATCAAATACTTGTGGGACAACTGCTACATATAAGTGTGGTGACTGTTTTGATTTGGTGGGTGAATCAATTAGGACATGTTGGAACGATGGAGAGTGGTCTGCGCCCGAGCCTGTATGTGTTGGTAAGTTATAGTTTGGTCAAGATCAGTTTATGTACAAATTATTCTTAAACAAACATATATTATATATTGCAGCACTCCATAGTACATGATGCATAAATATGAAAGTAAGATGAATCAAAAATATTACAATATACAGTTCGAAAATTAACATTTAAGAGCTAGTCTGTCACTCAAGCCCCAATATCCCAATTATAGCTTTAGCAGGATAAGATACTAATTTTAAACATTTCAATCAGATACCAAACATTCCCTAAATATCCCAAACCGATATCAATATTTCATACACATTATGTAATTAACAAGATGGGGAATAATCAGTGACGTTTAATTGGACGTTAGTGTCACATATCCTTGTAAACCTTGTGTATATATCGCTGATCATATGACTTCAGTAAAAACATGTGAGAACGAGAAACCTCCAAACCATGGTTCCGTAGATACAAAAAGTACAACGTGTGGAACTATTGCAACCTTCAGTTGTGGAAAGTGTCATGATCTCATAGGTAATCCAACCAGAACATGTTTGAGCGATCGACGTTGGTCAGACGAGAAACCCGAATGTAAAGGTAATATAACGTTCTTTCTGTATAATTGTTTTGTGCCTGTGAATTGTCTCGAGCATTGGCATTGGCATTGGTGTTTATTTCATCCCTCCATGATATGATGTCTTATGTAATACTATCCAAGGAATGTGATTAGGAAGCCGGCGTCTGTCAAAGATTTAATTAATATATAAACGTTTGAAGCTGTGAAATTGTTATTAAGGATCAGGGCTCGTCTGACAAGATTGTGACAAGGTGTGCCTCGATTGAGGTTCCTTATTGACTTATTAATTAATTTATAAATTAGTTTTGATTTATGATGCATGATCTTCGTGACCAGTGAAGCACACGTGCGCATGATGCAAAATATTCCTGATAAGTGTCAAAACTAAAAGTCAAAGTTCTATTTTTTGTTTTCACTTTTCAATAATATTATACATATATAGTATTCATCATGGGATAAAGATGAGACTCTTTGGTAAGTAAATGTAATAAAAATGTTACGATAAAAAGTTCAATTCAATTGGTAGTCTATAATGGAACTATACGTATGAATTCTAAATGTATTATAATATAGGGTATGGATTCTTTTGTTATAAAGGAGGGTGTACGAATTCCAAATAATTCCAATTACAGATTATGAAAATGTTTACTGTTTTTATTTTATCAGAATTTATATCCTGGACAAAAGTTTTCAATTCGTTTATTAGAACATCCGTCAGTCTAATTTTTGATAAGCTTGTTTGAATTTAGACAATCGTCTCTAAAAATACCATGTCCATTATTAACCCGTCAATTTTCCTTAGTGAGGGAATGCCCGAAAATCACACCCCCGGAAGGTGGCCTGTTTGACTCAAAGCATACAAAATGTGGGACCGTTCTAACGGTCATTTGTAAGGAATGCTTCCGTCTTATTGGTGTCAAGACAAAGACGTGCTTACCGGACAGGACATGGTCGCTAGGTGGACACGCTTGTAGAAGTAAGTTTTTTGATTCTGACATCCTCCAAACGCAGGACTCCATACATCATCCACTCTGTTCCGTCTTCCTGCACCTGCTCACAGATGATGATGTCTACTCTAGGCTCTACGTTCGGAGGGTAGATTTCAGGGTAAACGTCAAAGAGGACTGGCTCCCAGAATGCAATTTCGATATTTTCCAACAATAAATCCGATCTTAAGGATGTCGTGATTTTCACTTCAAATTTTAAATTCCTTATTAGAAATCCCCATGTCGCATTTGATCTACGGAAACTGTATGGCGGTCGTAGAGCTTCCCTAAATCGAGAGAAATATGCAGCATTAAATATAGGGATAAGCAGTGTAATGTAGACCTTCAATATCGATTTTGTGAAGCAACGGCCGCTGTACGCCCGCCGTAGAGCAAATGTGACTGAGGCTTAAACCGTTGATTAGATCCAATTTGTACATATGGAGGGACAACATTTTGTCCGGGGACTGTATTTTTTATAAACTGAAACGTCCTTCATGTTTAATATTTTGATGATTTAGGAGTAGTATGTGCAAGAAGAGACGTACCACAAAATGCTATAGTAAAACAAGGGGACCCAACTCAAATAACATGTGGAACTGAAATAACGTTCGAATGCCCACCTGCCTATGACATGAAAGGGTCTGCGGTAACAAAGTGCTTGGGACATGGGCAATGGAGTGCATTATTGCCAGAATGCAGAGGTAAGATTGTTAAATGAGCTTTACACCCTTACCAAAACGGCACAATACATCTAAAAAGAAGTGCATTAATTATTTTCTATGCAATGATTATATTTACAGCTTCTAATTAATTGTAATTACATTTTTGAATTGTTTTTTAGTCTACAATGAATGCATTTTTTTTAAATTCCCGGCAGCGAGAATTGAGGGCTTAGGGTTAGGCACAAAAGCTTTCAAACCGCTCACTCCCTTTGGTCGTTCAGGGTACATAAAACGTTTGTGCCTAGCACTACGGGGTGTATTCGACAATATTACCCCTGCTCTTCGGTCTATATTACAATTCGAACATGAAAACAAACCAAAATGTTTTGAATATTCATTATGGCCCCCCATTACTTCGGTCCGCCATGATGACATATTACACGTATTACCAGGGGCAATGTTCTCGAATATACCCCGGATGAAATGTTGACTTTGTTTGCAGTTTATAGAAGGCGCGAATACAGTCATGTTCGAATTACCAATATACTCGTTCGTATATTTCTTATTTCAAATGCATTCCTGGGGAATATTGCCTTGTCTTCCATATGTTATCCCATTTTGACCAACCAAACCATTCACAGTGCAATTGCAAGCTTGAGAGTCCAGTTCTATAATAACAGCAAGTATCAGTATTCAGTATATTATATTTTCAGTTAGGGTATGTCCAGCTCGAAATATCGTTGATCATTCTAAGCTGATTGACACAAAACGAGCCGAACGGCCATTCAGAGTGATGAACCCCATAAAAGACGAAGTTGAAGATGTGATAACGTACGAATGCGACCAATGCTACAGAATGGTTGGAACACCGGTGGTCGAGTGTAAATTAGATGGCACTTGGTCTGCTTTTCCAAACTGCAAAAGTGAGTATTTAAACGCTATAATTGGAAATGATGATTAAAGAAATTACTATGCACAATTCAAGGTATGGTGAAGATATGGTCACTCCAGTTGCATTATTAATCTAGTTTTTGATCCGTTTTAATATGCAGCACTTCTCAATCTTATTATTAGGAATTACTTGTAAGCACAGAACGGTGCCACAAAATGCGATCCTAAGACGAGGTGATCCATCGGTTGATATATTCTGCAAAAGTAAAGTGTCGTACGCATGTCCCCCCGGTTATGACCTACTTGGATCTGCCACTATGGAGTGCCTCGAGACTGGGAAATGGGATGAGGATTCACCAGAATGTAGAAGTAAGATCCTCGTGTAACTAGGTTTAACAATACATAAACTATTAAACTAAACTAAATAAACACTTTTATTATTTCTCTGTAGTGATAATCAGAATGTGATTGGTCAGTCATGTACCATGTGACTAAAGCTTCATCACGGTATTCCATTCATGTGTAAGTCATGCAATATGAAAATGGTATTTTTTAGAAAAATAAATATTGCGTAATTGATGTTATACTAGTATAGTGTATTTTGATGTGATATTGTATATTTGTTATATTATAGTTAGGGTCTGCCCAGCGTTAACACCCATCGACAATGCTAAGATAACTAATACAAAACGAGCCGTGCGACCATTTAGAGTGATGTCGCCAATCCAGGATGAACCGGAGGATGTTATAACATACAAATGCGATCACTGCTACGAAATGACGGGGCGTCCGGAGGTGGAGTGTAGCTTACAGGGGACATGGGGGGCATTTCCAACATGCAGCAGTGAGTTGCATTGAATCAATTTCCGTACGAGTAATTCATAATTCATTTAGTTAATATAATATGAAACAAAATACTCTGATTTTTTATTAACATAAAATATACCATACAAAATCAATGGTTTTCAGGAATTACTTGCCAAAGAAGACCCATTCCAAGAAGTGCAATTCTTAGACGGGGCGATCCACAGATTGATATTCTTTGTGGCAATAAAGTCACCTTCGGATGTCCACCTGGTTATGATCTCATAGGAAGTCCAACAATCGAGTGCTTAGATACAGGTCTTTGGGACGTTGACTTACCGGAATGTAAAAGTAAGATCCCATGTTATAACATATAAAAGTACACGGGTTTGGTGAATGATTTAAATTGCACAAATACTTGTATTGTAAATTGGTGAGAAAATGTCTTGAACTTCTCTATACATGCTATAGGAGATTTGAATGGAGGAAAAATGTAAAATGTATTACTTATCTAAAGTACATATTCGTTTTGAGAATTAAACAGCAGAATCCTTAAAACACGTACATTTAATATTTACGTTATAATTGCCAGAATAAATCTATAGCTTGCGATCGACAACTCTTGAAAAGGAATAATCAACAAAATTATATGAAAAAATGGTAACTCTTGAAATTAGAAAATTCATGAATTCTTAACTTCGAGTCAACTTTGACTTACTTACTTTATTATGTCACCACCACAAGTTCGGCATTCGGCGTTTGTCGTTCGGCGTCTGCAAGAAATGGCTTATGTGGTGCTATTATGCATGTCGACGCCTTGTTTGACTTACTTTGAAAATAGTTCAACTGGTTATCTAGTCAGAGTCTGTCCAGAGTTACCGGATGTTGCTAATGCGGACGTGGTTGATATTGAACGAGCTTTGCGATCAGACAGAGTGATGAATCCGATTCAACACGAACCTAACGATGTTGTAACATTCGAGTGTGATAGCTGCTATACTATAATTGGGCAGGACACAGTCAAGTGTGGTTTGGACGGAAGGTGGTCAAGATTTCCCAGATGTAACAGTGAGATTCATTTATTTTGTTTAAAAGAGTCACGGCGACTCATAAACTTTACAGTAAAAGAAATTATTGCTTAATGCCACATTCCTGCCAGTAATTATGGTCTGAGTAAAACATATTGCTTATTATACGTAGATAATGATGATAAATTTAGTTTAAAATGAAAATGCATTTTAAAAGATGAAAATGGACAAAGAGAACATTAAAAGACGCTAGATTCTTTTCTAGCTTTTACTGAAAAAATCGGATTACAGTGTAGTAAGATACTTACTAGTAGCAGATACAAATGCATGAATTTCAGTCAAAGTTTGCCCTGCTCCTCCCAGACGCCCAGACACTGTAATATCGAGTGAAAATAGAACATGCGGGACGCTCATAACGTACACGTGTGTCAATCCAGAATGTTATAATAGGACCGGTGAGAATGAGAAAATATGCAACACGGACAAAATATGGGAACCGGAAGCTGGACCCGTTTGCACAAGTATGTTGAATCATTATTTCGACATTTTGTCTAATTTTGAACTTTTTTTTAATTGTTGCCAAATGTGCTTTCTCATAATTAACCTATTTTGGTGTGGCGATTTACAATTTCTAGAAATGAGAGGCAATACTGAAATAATCATTATTCAATTAGTACCAAGCAAGAGCTAACAGGGACGATGGCTGTTTTGATCAACATGTTTACCTTTGAAAATAAATTAATTAACTATTGTATAATTATCTTGTCGATCCAATCTCCACAGACATCAAATCAGCAAAGCAGGCGTTAAAATAATCCGATCTTGACGTAAGAAAATATAATTTTCTGCATATTGTTCGCCAGCCATTAGTATAATTACGACGTGGGCGAATCTTTGGTTGTTAAAAACAACCTCCTTATTATGAAAGCTGATTAAGTCACTTGTATAATTTCGAAGTATTTAACATGATACTAATTGAATAACAAGGGTTATCAGGGGCCTTATTAATCAAACTATCGCAAGCATTGTGACGTCACAGCGTAGGAAATGTCTGCGACAAGGGTCTTGTCTGCGACAATCCCAGTCACGCCCACATTGGCGAAATCTCAGTGATTATTCAAGTAGTTATATTGCGTTTAATATAAGGTCAAGCAAAAGGAGTGGTATCGATATGGTGAACTTTTTGAACACTTGTTTCTCTTAGACCAGTCATCAAAACATTCTGAAAATTTTACACAACGTCAATTTAAGGGTCATCTTTTGGATGGTAACATTGTAATTTGAATTTTATATAATCTTTTCTCTATATTGTTTTAGAAAACACATCAGGCACTTCTTCCGTTCTTGGTATCATATGTTCGGAATGAAATGAAACATCTATCCGAACCTCATTGGAACAAAACGACATAAACACAACGTTTTTAGGTCTCTCAATATTGTAATTGTACAAAGGAAAGTTTGGTTGATTTTAAAAAAAGTATCTTGTTAATGAAATAAGAGGGTTATCTTAATTTTTATCTATTTTGGGGGGGTTTTGTTTTAAGGTTTTGCATACTTTTTGTTAAATCAACCCAAATTTCCTTTGTAAAACTATAATATTGAGAGGTCTATGGAAATGTTGTATATGCTATTTTGTTCCAACAATGTTCAGAAAGACATTTTATTTCATTCTCAAGAATTAGAAGAAAGGAACAAAAATGTTAACAAAACAGTTATATAAAATATATATTAATAATTTTTGCGTGAAATTGTTGCCAATCAGTTAACATTACATAAAGCACCGTGTTTTTTTTACAGAATGTTTTCAATAATTGGTTTAAGAGAAAAACATGGTTGGATTCAGTTCACCATATCGATATATATAAATGTATAACAACATTAAAAAATAAATTTGATATCTTTTGGCAAAATGAAGAACCGGAGGATATCGTGACGATATACTCCGGAAAACCAATATGCGGAGGATATAGTGACGACATTCTCCGCTTGTTGATTTCCCGCCAAATTGAACTATTTCACATGAAATTTAATTTTCAATGATACACACTTAGTACACTACTAAAAAGTGAAGGATAATAAGAACATTCTATGATTTTGAGAAATATCATTTTAATCTACGAGGTGATATTGATATCTGCACGAGAGAGCGAAGCGAATGAGTGCACATATCAATATTACCTCTTTATGCCTCTTCATGTTTTTATTTATATAACCTGCAATGAAAATACTTATGATACATGTGATAAACTTTGTTGAACCTGAAAAAATTATATCATATCATATTGCTTGTCAAATAAAGTTGTCTACATACTTCGCTTGTTTTTGCGAGTAGTCGGATGGATGAATATTCAGTCATATGACTTGCGGCAAACCCAACATTTTCCTTAAGTTTGCATGGCAATATGTTGATTTTCAAAAATCACCAGATTTGTCATCCATTCCTGTGACCAACTGTAATAGAGGAAAAATTGAAAATGGCGGAACTATGGGACCGGAAATGATGTCAGGTATTAGATAGTGTTAGATTAAGTCTATGAATGTCAAATAGTTGGTCTCAGAAGGACGCACCATAAAAGGCAGGTGAACATGTCACCAGATGGCTGGTACTAATACAACTGTTTATTTGTAGTCAAAACGTGTCCGGATATACGGGCCCAAACTCCAGGAAGTGTTGAATTTTCCGACCCAAAGCGTTCTTGTGGAAGTAATGCAAGCTTTGAATGTAGCAGATGCTGGGAAATAGAAGGACCAGAAATATTGACTTGTAGACCAGATAGTTCTTGGGGGACAGAATTTCCCGTTTGTTGGGGTAGGTTTAGTTCTACATTTCCCCTCATATCCTTTCATAAGCATCCAGGGAAATTTTAGAAAGAAATGCGCCATTTAATGTTATTTTAAAAACTATCCTTCTGACGACGAGGTAATTTAAATTATTTTTTAGATATACGAGCGTAACTCATTAATTTAAGTCAATGTTTTTCAGTATTCATAATCTCGAATTCATATATTTAAAATAATTCATATTGTATAACGTATTAGTGTATGTATGCTTCACAACTTAGGTACTGTGTGTGCCAACCCGCCTAAACCAGATAATGGTACTGTACACTACCTTTACACTAACTGCAGTGACGTTGCAACGTTCAGCTGTGACGTATGTTACCGTTTAGTTGGTCCACCCACCGCCATCTGTGGGCTCGATGGGGAATGGACCGAAACACCAACATGTGAACTAATGGATAATAGTAAGTTGTGTTATAAGATACAACAGACGGGTAATTTGTAGGAACTCGATATTAGTTACTTGAATGTAAACATGTAAAACAGTGCGCAATTTTCTTTTATCAAGATTAGGATCAATACATTGATATTCCATAAAGTAAGTTGTTGTTCTAATTTGAAGTGATGATTAAATTATGGGTAACTTGTCTTCTGTAAACACCTAGCTATCCAAAGACTCACTTTGTTTATAGTAAGACGATGTTCGCGTCCACCAAATGTTCGAAATGCGTTACTGACCTTGAACAGCACAGAATGTGGCGCCAAAGCAATATATGATTGCATTGACGAAAATACTATTATGTCGGGGGATGGCGTAGGGGTATGCATGCCTGATGGAACGTGGACGTTCAACGGAACAACGTCATCTCCGTCATGTATTGTTATCTGATGTGCACTTAAAGATTCACAGCTCAACAGTTTGACATGTAACTTGAAATAAAACCTTGAATACGAAATTAGAAAATCATATATCCATAAAAAGCTTGTTTTGTTTTTAAATGTTGTTGTTTGTACATTTCTATGTCGAAAATTTAGAACCTTTAATATCACAATTAAGTCTAGTTTTAAATTTAAAAAATCTGAATTATCGTGCATATATATATAATTCTATCCCAGTCTTCAAATGACCTACAGTAATATATAAGATCAAACATCCTATCTATGCAGAAATATACTCCTCGATAAAATGCATCTTGATGATTTAGAGAAGTTATATTCACGAAATGTCTATGGAATAGTTTTTATATCTCACATAGAAACATGGGTTACTGCTGTTTTGAGGAACGCTGCGCTTGAAGTTTCTGCATGAATGCAGAATCTCGTTCATCTTGGTGAAGAAACTGGATATACTGTCTGACGACAACTAGCCCATGTTCAAACGATAGGCCCCTTCTCACCAGCTCATCTCTACACGCTTCATTGTCTAGGGTAATGATCCAACGATTTTCAAGGCCGCCCGTAGAGTGAATGACGTTCCTGTCTTGAAATTGTATTGACTTCACTCGACCATTGCATCGCTTGATTTCTTGTTTCACCATTCGCAATACTTGCGCATGCGTCAGTTCAATACCCGGATATTGAAAACACGCCACGCATGCGTTTTCCTGGTTGTCGTATTGAAGTTTAGTGATTCGTCTTCGGATTGGATTGACATCTACTCGTTTCCTGCTCAATTTCTCTAATTTTGAGATAATATCTCTTAGATTTTCAGGATCATTTGGACTGAAAACAAGATAACTTTATTACACGACACAAGATTAGGAAAACTTTGACCATGACCACAAGCTAAAGAGGGGGAGAAACCCCAGGGTTCAAAGATGACATACGCTTATAATGTAAATCTGTATTGAGATGACATCGTCGCTGATTGGTTTAGCGAGTCGATCGTTGATTGGTTTAAAGCTAGGTCAATTTGAAAACTTTGAAAACCAAGATGGAGGGTACAGTTTCGACAAATGGAGGTGCGCGAAGGAGGAAATCATATGTCATCAATTGAATCATGCTACATGCTTATGCAGGTCAACTGTAAAGTGTTTTCTTGTTGTCATGGCGATAATCCATGACACAAACTGAATAACAAATTGACCCTTGCAAAAGGTTTACTTGCAAAAATATTCTTTCAGGTCATTTCATATCTTTTTTAGTGTATTGCATAAAATATTTTGCTATGTGTGAAAAGAATTTATGCCCAATACTTAATGCATTGTGGAATGACCATTCCTTTCAGGTGTTGCTTCCTAAAATTACCATTCGATGCCATTACCATTCTGATTCGATAAAACAATAAAAGAATTTTAAAAAAATGTCAACATGTCTAAATTAAAGTAACTTTTAGCTTATCTCAGCTATCTCAATACCGAAATTATTCTCATCAATTCAAAATTCAAATTAACATCTAGCATACTTATATCGTACAAACCGTGACATTACTTCACACCTCGCTGGTATTCACCAAACTCTCCTCTATTAATCTCCTCTCACGGCGTACCCTTCATGAGTTCAAATTAATGACACATTAAAAATGTTGTATATCTATGTTTCCTACGATAAGTTGGCAACAGGACATGTATTGACATAAAGGTCGTGGAACATGGATTAAAAATCGAGTCTTGAGTCGAAAATTTCTTTTTTCTACTTGGAACTCTGTGTTTCACTCAATTATACATGTTCCTGGGCCTATGGAATGGACAGTCCCAGAAGGGGAATAGGTTAACTGTTCCATGCATAATTTAGAGATCGAAAAACAACATTGAGTTGAGACACACTAGCAATCAATGAATAATTAATGAAAATGGCAACAAAGAATATAATGGTTAAACGCTGCAGTTGGAAGCAATATTTTCAAAACATACCTATGTTCCAATCAAATATTTATTTTATAATTTGAAAAATTATCATGAGATAAAGTAAGAACTTTTGACATGTCATAGTCTTTGTTGCCCCTTTAAGTAAGCAATGAATCAACTATCACTGTTACTTTAGCAAATGAAAAATCTTTTTATTTACTTCATACTAGATTGTTATAAAATCTTCAGGGGGATTTTACCTTTCTGTTTCGATTGGTGGTAGTTTCAATACCAAAGATTTCTTCGCACGATGTCGCCTCATGCTAACTTTGTCTCGAAATCCCAACTTTAAGAACCGATCTGTTTCAGAAAATTTTTCTGGTACGCCTGCCTGCCTCAACTGGGGTAAAACAAGACGCGTTGTCGTGTCTACTGCTGCAGGTCCCTCGGACGCGTGAGATTGAGAAAGAGTGTCAACGGTTTCACTAACATCAAGATGTTTATCTTTTTGGCGAAATGATAGCTTCGGTGTGAAGGGTGTTATCACATTCCTTTCGGGTGTACTCCTGTTCCTTGTGTCAATTTTGAGAAATGGATCGAATAAGTAACGACCAAAGGATCCCGATGTTAGAGGATTCAAAGGAACGAGAAATTGCTCACCGGTTTTGTGTTTGAGAACATTTGATCTTTCAATGGCCAATCTTTCTAGAACACCATGTGGAGTTGGCGATGAAGGTGCAAATATGTCAGCATCAGCATTTTCAGCATCAATCCCTTCTAAATCAATCTCTTCTGTGGTTATCTTTGGAAGTCGAGTAGTGTGTGTCATCGGGAACCGTTGTATCAGAGAATCCAGGATCTGTAAAATCACCTTCTTCGTCTACTTCCTTTACATCGGAAAGTCGAATTATTATTTTAGATTGGCTTGATGTAGGCATTGCGTTTCCTTTAACGGGTTTTCTGCACGATATATTGTTGTTCTATCAATGTTGATGTCATCCCATGGCGAATTGTGACTTAAATCTTGTTGGTTTTTGCCAATTTACTTTCAATAAAGAAAAGATCTAAACACATTAGGCTTGTTATATTTTATTTATCTAATTTAGTGAAAATAATAGTATTCCATCATATTTCATTGTAAATACTTGTTGTAACTATTCACTCTATGGAATTAGCTTCTAAATATGCTCGTCCTATATGTGCGATCTCCAAGTCATTTCAAACAGGGTATCACTTAACAATCGGCTCACTATAGACACTGTTTTATATTCATTCATTCGAAGTCCGTGTAATTGTTGCTTTAACTACCAGAATAAGTGAGAATTTATTTGAGTTCGACTGGAATTAGGAAACGGATGTCATATTATTTATTATTTATTAACGCCGACACGGATGCACTAAAAGCAAATGAATGTTAGACGATTGAATTCTTGTAATTCGCTCGTGAACATTCATCATTTATGATGGTGTAAGATTGGCAAAAACATGTTCGTATTCCCTTCTTATTGACGAAGGAAGGTCGTTCTTTTAACTGCCGGAAACAAAAATAGCTGCCATGCATAAGGAGGAAAAGTGCGCTCCTTATATTATTAAGGCATGTAAGCAAACTCTAAAACGCCGTTGTCTTTAAGGAATTACATGTATCGGTACATTTTTCAGAAAGTACTTGTTTTCATGGGAGTCCTCAATCAAGGGTGTCGCACTTGTTTTAAATTGTAATTAATCAGTTTAACCTTCCTCATATTTCATGTATTTATTGAATAAGATGTAAACAATGTTTCCCTGTCTTTGTATCAAAGGGTTAACAAAAGATCGTGACTAGTTTAGAGTAATGCCTGGGTCACATTTGCTCCGATCCATCGGCCGGCGCCCGGCCGATTGAGCGTTTTGCTCAATATTGTATTCAATTTTGAACAAAATACTCAATCGGCCGGGCGCCGTAGTGAAAATCGTAGCAAATGTGACCAAGGCATTAGTTTCGAAAGTGTCACAATCTTAGATTATAGTTTCCTCTCATCATTCCATGGAAAGCTTATTTTTTATTAAAGTGTATACGTAACAGTTTATTTTGGGATAGTAGTTCGATTTTAAAGTTATCTGCGATGATTTCCTTTCTAGTTTAGTGAATCTCTATTTTTAACGAGATATCTGAAATATTTTACAGTTAATACAATTAAGAATTAAGACTGACCCGTCACGGTGTAAATTATCTTTTAGGGGGTCTACTGAACTATGAACACTTTTTCGATTTAGGTATGAGCAAAATTCATAAACTAATATTAACCTGAAATAAAACAATCTTCCGCAACACTGCTTCAATTCAGTGCCTTTGTACAACCTAAATTATCGATATTGTTTTCAAATAGGTGCTTCGTAGTCAAATAAAGTTCAAACTCCAGTTGACACGCAAAACATCATTCATTATCAGTCTTGTAATTATTTACTTAAATGTGTCCATTGACTTTGACGAATCGACGCATTCATTCAATGTGCAAAAAAACTTTCACTTAAAGACCTCATATGAAGTTTAAACATCTTTGGCTTATATGATAGTCTCACCCAATGGTATAGTCCATTGTATGAAATTCTTAGGACGCCTTGCGGTTTCCGTACGGCGTATCTAGTTTTTTACAGGCTGCAGGGTAGCCGTAGAAATTATAACTTGGGGTTATAATATTTGTTCATTGCTGCGGTCCCCGTAGAAATCAACAGGCTGTTGTCAAACCACAGAAAGGTAAAACGGTGGCCGCACGTCGGGTTTGCCGTTGACTTGCGTCTGCTGTAGGGTTTGATGGGTAATGTCATTAGCAGGGGTCAAAATATATGTAAAAACCAAATCACCTTTTTTACAATTTGGAGTATATAATGTTACAGAAAATTGTATGAAATAAATTTTGAATTTATGTTTTAGGTTTCTAAACTATAAATTTGACGCTACCTTTCTTAAAAATACAAACAAATTGCGTTATCAGTACATCAACATTTTGAATTGGTCCTTCAATATTGGTGATGTAAATAGTATCAATGAATCAATTTTGTATATAAATGACAAATGCTAAAATCATGTTAGTTTTTTGAAAGATGGGTCTTAATACGTTTTGAGACACGGACTGTCATCGTCAGTGGTAACTTATCTATAAAGGAGAACTTGTTGCTCTTCCTTGACCGACTGTGGCTACTGCTTAAATTATTTTGCCCTGGTTAGATATTGCTCAAAACCTATAATGGTTTTGAGCAATATTACAAAGACCTGGTCGAATTCACCAAGAAATGTACTTGGCGTTTGATTGCACATGTCTCTTATAGACTATAAGAAATATCCTCTGGAAATATTAACGTTTCAATACCTCTATAACATTCAAATACAAGGGGTGATCAATAAGTAATAGACGCTTTTTTACACAGATACTTTTTATGGACCAATCCCTCTGATTTTCCTACCAGTGAAACATCATTCAATTGTCTATCAATTCTGAAGATTTGAAGACAAGATATGTAATACATGTTGATATATCCTTATTTCCGTGAAGGAGGTACAGGTACCCCGGGACCGACATTTACGTCACATATTCAGTTTTTAGCCAGTTTTACAAATTTCAGTTAGATTTAAACTTTTTTATATGCAACAAGTTTTGTGTTGTTTGAAATATTTTGCTGACTGGTAACACACAAACAGTAAGTATTGTGATGTCAGAGTGTTGTATGGTCGGGGTTTGCAGGTCAATTTGAGGAAGCACTGTGGAAGAAGGGGTTGGTGAGAGAAGGAAACACCCTACTCCATATGGACAATGCACCTGCCAACAGATCTCAAAATGTTCAGAAAAAATATCCCTGGACCTCAAAATTGAGCCCTTGGTCAATGCACTATATTGTCCAGATCTTCCCACATGTGACCTATTTATTCCTATACTACTTATTTCTATAGAGAAGGGACGCAGGTTTATTGACATTGATGAAATGAAACAACCCGTGCTACTGCATCTTGCTACCATGTCAGAGAATGGATCAGCCTTGTCTCACAATCTTGAGTTAAGAGGATGAGGAATTATGTACATGTAGCTCTTGATGGAACCTATGAAGAGGCATGAATACCACATAAATGTAGTGATGACAAAATATAAAAAATCAAATATTGCGTAACAAAATGGGGTAATTCATGACCATAATGGTTTGTTTTGTTCAGCCTGCATTCAACTGCGTTGCATGTTAAACAAGCTAAAATAGCTTCAGAATGTTTGACGAAATGTCGGTCCCGGGGTACCTATACCTCTTTCACGGAAATAAAGATATATCAAAATATATTACATGTTTTGTTTTCAAATCTTCAGAGTTGATAGACAATTGAATGATGTATCACTGGTAAGAAAATCGAAGGAATTGGTCTATAAAAAGCATCCGTGTAAAAAAACGTCCATTACTTATTGATAACCCCTCGTAGATATGTATTCTACATATTTGTCATTGTTAGATACACTCCCCTCCATAAGTTTGGCAACCCTTTTCCCCCATTGAACTACGTGTTAAAGCCCCTTTACGTTTGAATTTTTATTTACTTAACCGGCTATGAAATAACTTTGATATTAATGGACTTTATTTCCAATACCTCCAAATTTTCTCAATTCTTTTCCTCAATTACAATAGGTCGAAAATTGATGATAAATTTGATGGATTTTTAAAAATCGTCATTCCCATGTAATCCAATGGGAAATGGAGGGTTCGGGGCAAATCAGAAATCAGGATATCTTTTCAGTAAAAGATTCAGCAAAAGATATTTTTATATAGAAAATTGAACTGTCTAACTTTTTTGAACACTAAGTGTTTAGTTTATTTGATGAATATTAAAGTTACAACGCTTCAAAGTTATTTGTGAAAATAATTTTTCGCCTCCTGTGGTAGTTATTTCAATGGGAGAGGTTTTTTGAAAAACAATTTTGACTTTAAAGCCCTATAACTTTGTTGAACCTGTTGAACATATCAATTTTTGTTAAATAAAGTTAGCAAATTCAATTGCCTGCCTCACTCGTATTTTTTGCAAGGACTCAGATGGATGGATATTCTGTCATATGACTTGCGGCAAACTTACCATTTCCCATTGGTTAACATGGGAATGTCGATTTTCAAAAGTTCATCAAATGTATCATCAATTTTCGACCTATTGTAATTGAGAAAAAAAATTGAGAAAATTTGGAGGTATTGGAATCAAAGTCAAATTACGTTTCCATCAATAATATAAGTATTTTTATCGCAGGTTAAGTAAATAAAAATTCAAAGGTAAAGAGGCTTTAACACGTAGTTCAATGGGGGAAAAGGGTTGCCAAACTTATGGAGGGAGTGTATGTTTCATAAAACATAGGCAATTATTTTTTGTTTGACTGGCGATGATAGGGATAAATTCTTTAGATAAAATTTTCAATAGTAAAAACCTAATATGTTTGAAATAAGACCTATATTTGTCACATAACAAGCATCATAACCTATCATGGTACATAAATATTTAAACTTGACAATTTTCGAAAATAATATTTCCATTTGAATGATATCACAACGTATCTTTGTGACATTACAACTTTTTTTAATGTTTTAAAAGTTTGTATATCCATGAAATAATATAACTATAAAAATCTAACCTCTTTTAAGAATGGTGGTAAATTCAAATATTTGAAAATTATAAGATCTACAACCCCTTTTCACATATTTCAAAGAAACGTGTCAATTAGTTTTTCAAGTCATGAAAAGTGATATTTGAAACTATATTTTTTAAACGTTACATGGGGCCTTTAAGGGAATGTTCCGTTAACACAAACTCCTCGTGTATTATTGACTTGGATAACATGTGATTTGAACGTACTATAATAAGAACTTTGACGAATGGAAAGTTTGAAACCTAACTACTTTGCTAAAGATAACAATGGATTACGACCAGCTTCTGAAGAAATATATCGGCGAGATGGGACTTTATCAAGCTTGGGTACTTTTTCTGATGGGTTGCTTGGGGACAGGAGCGTTATACTCTAATGTAAGCATTGTATTCCTTGCAGCTGTTCCCGTTCACAGTTGTCTTATACCTGAACTCACATCTGCAAATCTCTCCCGTGACGTCATAAATAGCGTCAGTATCCCACTTACCGAGGAAGGGGATTATGCAACATGTCGAAAATATGACAGAGATTATACAAATGTGTCCATGGAAACGTTGAAACAATGGATAAATGAAACAACACGTAAAACTGAACTAAGAACGATACCCTGCGATGCGTTTTACTACGATACTTCACAGTATATTACAACTATTGTGTCCAAGGTAAGTCCTACCTTGTATTCGCGAATGCAACTTTCGGCTGTCGGCTACCGGATTGGCATACTATTTCATGACAAACTCATTTAGATATTAATAGTATCTGCCACTATTCCATACATATCTAAATTAGTTTGCCATAAAAAGTAGGTTAATCCGGTAGTCGCTAGTCGTTAGTTGCATTCCCGAATAGTACCCCAGTTATCAATTGTGCTGCAATTAAAATGCCGAATGCAACTTTTAGCTATTGGCTACCGGATTAACCTACTATATTTCACCACTATTCCATTCATATTTAAATGAGTTGATCATAAAAGAGAGGGTTAATTCGGTGGCCGTAACCGAAAGTTGCATTCACGAGTACTAGCCCAGTTATAAATTGAGCTGCAATTGAACTGACAGTTTTACGTACCCATAGATCGAACTCAGTCGTGACCAGAATACATTCCTACAATATAAACTACAACTAGATCATGACTAACACTGGAGCAAATACCAACGAGGATAGAGAATGGACGTACTGGATATTTTAATTGCTTACTAAAGTCCAACTTTGGATTCAAGCTATGGTAGCTTCACATATAAACTATATAATGTCATGAAATGGATCAACAAAAATATAATGATTGCTTACCCCCCTATCACACCAAACTAGTTCCTACCCGTTCTTGCCAGTCCTACGAAAACGTCGTAAAACGGGCTCAATCTGGCTGTGGTCGGGAAATATGTCTGAAATAATTAGCTTTTTCGTTCTTAAACAGTCTTCAATACGTCCATATCGTTCGCAGTTCGTTCAGGTCGCACCACGTCGTTGTGCAACGCCGTAGAACGCGTCCCTTAGTCTAGAAGGTCAACATGACCTGACTACAGAACGGTATGGTCGCCATCGAATTTTGAATCGATTCAAAATTCTAAAATCACATTCCCGTCTGAGAACGTTCATAAAGTTTGTAAATAGACCTTAGAAAGTTGCAGCTACGTTCATTCCGTTCGCACACAGTTTAAAACCAGTTTTGAAGAACGCAGTGGCAACTTGTTTGGTGTGATAGCTATATTTTTGCTAACTCGTTCATAAACAGTGTTAAATACGTTCTTAATCAGTTTAAACCCGTTTGCAATTAGTTCTATCTCGTTCTCAACACGTCCTCAGACAGTTCAACTCGTTGTTAAAACGTCCCTAGTAGGATTGAAGTACGACGGTTCCGTTCGTAGTACGTCCAGCTCGTCGTTAGTACGTTGTCACTCGTTCTAACTGTAGAACGTGACGACCACGAGAACATTTTCAGCATTGTCTAAGTTCTAGAGGACCTACCCGTTCGATTACGTTCGATGAAGTTTGTAAATAGATCCCAAACGGTTCTTAGAAGGTCCAGTCCGTTCGTACACAGTTGGAGAACGTAGTGAGAACTAGTTTGGTGTGATAGTAGGGTTAGAAGAGACGATTCTTGAACATGCTTCGACTTACCTGTCAAAAAGTTGTTTAAAGACAAATGACATGCATGTACATGTTTTAATGGCCAAGTGCTATATTTTTAAGATTATGATAACCTTGTCTTCTCCCCATTGATCGATCCGCCAAATTGATCAGAATTGAAGTTATTTCTACCATTTTTAAAAAAGTTAGATAAAGGAGTACTTTTTGAAATAAGAAAAAAATTCATTCATCGTGTCTATAAAGTTCACTCTCCGAGTCAGCATGATTTCATTAATAGTTTTAGCGATAAGTCTTTGCAAAGCAATATTTGGCAGTACTCGATAAGTTATCAAAGTCGGCTATTTCTAAAGCACATGCTTCCATACGGGCGTGATGATTGTCAACGTGCAAGGGGCAGTCAATGAGGATGTGGATTTCATCTTCCACACTCTGGTTGCATCTGCATAATCTGTCGTTCAGTTCTATACCTGTGAATCGACAAGTTTCAATTCTTATTGGGGGGGTTCCTGATCGAATACGTGCCAAGTAACTGAAACAGGTTTTAGGTATTCATATACATTAAAGGTACAAACTTCATTTTTATATCACATTGATTTAGGTTTTAAGATATATGTTATTGTTCTATACATTTGATGTACATCATTTCTATTCTTTATTCTCCTTAAGTCCACTTGCACTCAATACGTGATATCATTCATAAATAACATTAAAATCTTGGCTCTTTTCATTGTTATGTCTTTTCTATCAGGAAAGTTCCAATTCCCATAAAGGAGGATTTTAAGTCCAGTATATTTTACTTTACTACATAATCTACTTGTCTTTCTATTGGTTCAAATGTTGGTTCCTTTTGGGACGACGTAAAGGAATAAATATGATCCATGCAGCTACGATCGCCTCCAAAACCGTTTTGATGATCACTTAGTTTTCGATTAATCTAAAACCATCGGATGAGTCGTGTTTTGAGTACGGTAAAGTATATTTTGCAAAAAAGACAAATGCCGCGTTAATTCATTGGTACCTTACTGTCCCCGAATTTGAAGATGGGGTGGATAATTCCTTGATTTTCCTTGATATTTTTACATATTGAAGATTTAAATGTCCTTTTTTGAATATTCATAAATTAATTTGGGTGCTATTTTGTACATTAAAAAAAATTATCAGCCCAGTAGGCTGATGCACTTCGTTCTCCAAAGCGAGACTTATCTTTTCTTGCATCACTGACATCTCCAAATAAGCAGCATTCGAGTAACGAAAATAAATTGTTTGAAAAACTTATGTTTTGTAAAAATGACCTGGCTTGCCTTCCGGCAATGACAACCGCTGTATTCAATACATAGGGGAATTAAAGGTTAGAACTAATTTGGGCTCAAATCGTTCCTTGTTAGGCCCACATATTTTTGATGGATTCCCAGAGTTACTTCATTCAATAAATTTTAAATACTAAAAATGGATGTCCAAATTACCCTCTCTCCCTCTCTCTCTTTGAACATGTTGAAGGCAAATTCAAGTTGTATGAAATAATCAAAGAAAATGTTTAAATCAAATTATTCGCACTATTAGCCAATATATTGATATTTACAATTCTTTGATTTATTTCATGTTTCTTAGGATTTAATAATTAATAATAGGTAGTATCAAATCTAGCCTGGTCTTTGAAAACTCTCGGAAGTTCATGATCAAGCAAGTATTCAGAGTACCCTTGAAAAAATTGTTCCAATTTAAAAATATATTCTTCATAATTGGTGTCTCAAAATGCAATAAATTGATGCATCAAACATTGAAAAACAGGTGGGAAAAGGGGTGGAAATCAGGACTTTTCAGAGAAGGTATGTTGATGAGGTGTTTTCTTTTTTCACGAGTTGTATACAAAATCTTCACGATCTTTTCGGCACAAACATGTATCAGCACCATATGTTCGTGTAAAGCTAATAATTTGTGAACGAATAGTTCACAAGGCGCCAGAATTAAAACAATTATTCACTATCATTACGTAAACAGAACGGTTAAAAGTGCAGATTTGTTTCATGATTCTGTCATCTCGTGAATTGTTTGTTCGCAAACGTTAAGATTTTCTAAAACAAATGATGCCGACACACATTTTTGCCAAAAAGGATTTGGAGATCCTGTCTACATCTTGAGAAATCTTGGAAAAAGCAAAATCGTACCTTCGTAGTTGCGACATTTTGTTACGAAAACGGATTAATTTTGAAAAGTTACTCAACAGTGTCCCGGGAGCTTGGTTAATCTTTTTAATAAAATACTGATGAACAAATGTATTGTAATAAAAAATTGGAACCATCCGCTTGAAAAGCTTCTAAAACTACTGATGATTATTCCATATTAAATGTAAAATTTCCCAAATAGACACTAGACCTCATGACTAGACACACTGGGGATCAACTGGAAACGTAGACATGGTGGGTTCGTTTCATCATGGTGGTTTCCCAGGGGAATTGATTAGAATTTATGTTTTCTATATTGTACCACAAATTTCATCTGGTAATTCTTCTACCGGAAGTCCGGCCATGCTGAAACCATGGGCTTTCAAGCCCATGCTGAAACGAAGACATGTCGATGTCTTCGTTTCCAGATGATCCTCAGTGTAAACAGGCATTTACATTACGCAATGTTACCACCTAAGTGATGAGAATGTGATGAAGGAAAGGTGTGTCAATCAGGTTCTACATCGAATGTTTTGCACAGGAATGCATTTTATGAAGTGATCCAAACCACACGTACGTGTATACGATAAAAAATTGTAAATTGTAAATGTACTCACAATATACACTTGTGGTAATATTTAGGATACAATACAACAATACAATACAATACAATACAATAAGATAGATGAGTACTTTCGGACCTTATATTATAATTTTTTAAAACATTGATTGCCATCATTTACTATTGTAATCAATCCATGAAGGTTAAACTTTCTAATTTCAGTGGAATCTTGTTTGTGACAGAAAATGGATGATTGCTCTTGTACAGTCTATATATATGGGAGGTATCCTGGTAGGTGCAGTTACCGCAGGCCAATTATCAGACAGGTAACCTCTTCTTACATTTTCGAAACTCCAAATCTCCCATTGGACCATTTGGCAGAGTATGTCTGTATTTTGCGATTCTGAAAATTTCGTCGAAATCGTATTAATTGTAGTAGGACCTCGCTTATTGTTACTGATGAAAAAATATTCTAAACATGGCAGTCGCGTCACCAAACTTGTGGAGAGTTCTAGTACTGTTGTCACAGTTAAATAATATATCCTGTTCAAATTTTGCACTGCTTATAATATATTCCAAATCACCTGTATCCACCTGATTACTAGGACGGTCCTACCTTGTAACAAAATGGAAAATATCTTCCAGAAAAGAGTAGAAGCAAAAAACTGATGAAAACAACCAATCCATTTTTCTTTCCCGGATGTTCTTCCATTTTGTCACGGCTAAACAGATTTTGATTGATTTTCAGATTTGGCAGACGCCCCGTCCTTTGTGTCTGTATTGTATTAACAGTGATCTCATCCTATGTGGTAGCATTTTCACCCAATTTCATCATCTTCGCTATCCTTAGATTTTGTCTAGCAACATTCAGCATGGGTGCATATACAGTTGCATTTGTCGTTAGTATGTACTGTTCACAATTTCTATATATTCAGACATTGTATCGTATAGTTCAGCTCTTGTATTTCATCATAGCGAGGTTGATTTGTGAAAGGATAACATTGAATGTAATTTTATTTTGTTACCATGACCTACTTTATCTAGACATGGAGATAGTTGGCCCTTCTTGGAGGAATACTGCGGGACTAATAATGCAGCACACATGGGCACTGGGCTACCTTGTCCTGGCGGGTATCGCGTATGGAATTCGTGATTGGATTACACTGCAGCTTGTTCTGTCTGTGCCAATAACACTATACTTGCTGCTAATTTTGTAAGTTTCTGTTTACTTGTTTGTTTGTTTGTTTGTTTGTCCATCCGTTTGTTTCTTTGTTTGTGATGAGATTCCATACGATGCCGTCTAGTGTGGATTCACATTTTATCACGACATTCACGAGTCGTCTAAAACAGTCAATTTGACTCCATCCATCCTTGCTGCAAATGTATGTAACTGAATTTAAGCATAAATGGAGTCATTTGAAGAAGGATGACTCCCTTAAGCTTATATTAAGGCAGATAATTAAGTTTGCACGTTTACAATTATTTAAGGATTTAAGCCTCTCGAAAATGAGATATATTTTTTTGCAATTTATATGGTGCAATCTAATAGTCAATGAAATGTTTTAAAGTGTATTGATGTTTTTAGATGAAAACCAAAGCGAAATGCATGAAAAAACTCCCCGAATTCATTCTACAAACAACTCACGGTCACTTACATGTTAAGCCCTAAAAGTAGTATTTTCTTTACAGACTATGCAAATGAAAATTCAAACATAAATAGGCCTTGGCACATTATCCAATGGGGGAGTTAGGGTTGCCAGACCTATGGGGGGGGGGGGTGTAAATTCTTTTCACAGAAAATATTTTATACAATATCTCTAAAATATTCCTGCTGCTGTTACTCCCAAATTTTAAGAGACTGGAGAATCCACGATGATCAAAAATTGGATTTCTTTCTCCAGCGTTGTCCCGGAGTCTCCTAGATGGCTGTATGCCAACAATCAGTCTACCAAGGCAGATGCGATCGTGCAGAAGATCGCAAGATGGAATAAAGTGAATGTTCCCGAAAAACTCACAATCGAGAACAGGGTAAGTAAATAGAGGAGATCCAATGATTTTTGAGGGATATCATTTTTATCCGCCATGAGCGTATGTCGCCCATCTCTGCTAGTGAACGCAGTGAATGAGTGGAGATGGGTGATATCCACAAGTGGATAAAAATGATAGCCCGAAGCAAGTAGAATTACAAGTAGAATTACAAAACCTAAAAATGTAACATTTAAACAAGTGAACAGCAAATAATTGAAAAACAAGCCCTATATTCTTAAAGGGGTATTCCTTGCAAGACCATTTCTGTCCTGATATGGTTTCATATGGTATATACACTTGCAATTTTTAACTCTGTACACTTTGTAACTACCTCGACACAAACTGTTCAATTGTATATAATAAGTAAAATAATGTAAAGATTTACTTTTTCAGTTGATGGATGAGGAAAAAAAATATTTCATTGATCTAGTACACTGGTGATCCACTCGATTACGCTGGTTACCAAAACGAACCGTTTTGGTAACAAAATGTCGGAACGTCGAAGGCACGATTTTTCTTTTTTTCTTATTTCACGCGTTGTAGGCAGAATCCCCGCGACGTTTTTTCTCACAAAGTACATCAGTATCATATGTTTTAGAAAATGTACATGTTTGCGAAAAAATAGCTCAGAGGACAACAGAATCGTCGATTTACTTCCTCACTTAAGTTACATAAACGGTTTTTCGAAAAACAGTTAAGATCTGCACTTTTAACCCAAACCGTTTATGTAACTTAAGTGAGGAAGTAAATCGACGATTCTGTTGTCTTCTGAACTATTTGTTCGCAAATATGTACACTTTCTTAAACATATGATACTGATACACGTTTGTGTTAAAAAATGTCGTGGGAATTCTGCCTACAACGTGTTAAATAAGGAAACGAGAAAAATCGTACCTTCCGGATGTTCCGACATTTTGTTACCAAAACGGTTCGTTTTGGTAACCAGCGTAATCGAGTGGATCACCAGTGTAGTACGTACGCCAGTTTTACGAAAGAGGGCGCTTATTATGTTTAATGCATGGTAAGTTAATCAAGACTCGGTCGCATTTGCTCTAAGACGGGTGTATGGCGTAGCCTCACTTAATCGATATAGAAAGTCTACATCATACTGCTTATCCCTGTACACATTTCTCTTGAATCTGGGAAGCTACGGCCTTCGTATGATTGTCGTAGATCAAGTGTGACTGGCATTAGACTGTATGTAGGCTCTCAGAATGGGTATTTTTTAGAAACTAATATATATTATGCTTGACAGGCTGACTTATAACATCCGAATGGATTTCACAAAACGATGAGAGACCTTTCATATTTTAGGTTTGTGGTTTCTATGGTATACTTTGGACTCTCTCTTAATACATCTAATCTTGGTGGGGATCCCTATATTAACTTCCTCATATCGGGAGTCATCGAGATCCCGTCATACTTTATGGCACAATTTCTGTTCTGGAAGCTGGGAAGAAGGTATTCTCTGTGTGGGGTTTTATTATTTGGTGGTGTTGCGTTACTTTGCATCATGGCCGTGCCTAAAGGTAAGTGATGTTTACAATCTAATTATTAGACATATACAGGGTGAGCCAAAAAAGGCAACCCAAACAAATGTTAATAACTCAGTCATCCAGCATGGGTTTAAACTCATATTTAATACAATTGTACCTTCTTTAATGTACTTTCATTCTGATCATTCATTTGTTCTCGCTCCTGGAGGCAAACTTGAACGTGTCGGGTGAAGTAGCTCTGACTACACGCTCACAGATATCTTGTGTGATGGCTCTCATGTTACTCTTGTTTTAACTCTCTGATGCTTCTAGGGTTGTTAGTGTAGACTATAAAATTCCTTGGGTTCATATTTGGTGATTTTGTCATGTTTTGACAGTTTGAGAACATTTTGTAAAATTGCCCTAAAATAGACCAATGAAACTTACTTACTAGAATGAAAAAAAAAATTTGACAATGTTAAATTGTGCTAAATATGACTTTAAACCCATGCTGGATGACTGAGTTATCAACATTTGTTTGAGTTACTTTTTTTGGCTCACCCTAATATTTGTATTAGTAATACAAATAGTATGAACTAGTTAGTTTGTTCCACCGGAGGACACTTCAATACAAATTGATTTAGAATTAATGATATTGATAAACCAACCATCGTTGTACCTCAAATCAGTGACATTAATATAGTTTTGTTCATATTTTTAATGCCAATTTTCAAGGTATGATTTTATTGAACATCACAATGTCCATGACTGGCAAGTTTATGGTATCTGCTGCATTTGGAATGGTGTACAACTTTGCAGCTGAGATTTTCCCGACACAAATTCGGAACATTGGGGTTGGAGCATCATCCATGTTTGCTCGTATAGGTGGCATTTTGGCCCCTTATATAGGCCTCTTGGTAGGTTGACTGAAATCCATGGAATCAGAATAACTTACATATATGCTGATTCACTTTAAAGGTTGACGCATATCGTTTAGCAAATCGAACGCCTGTTTTTGGTGTTGCTCACCGTTTAGTATAAAAGGCACGATCCGGGATAAAACTCAAGGGTATACCAGGTTTGAGGTCGTGGTGTAAACACCTCTACCTGTTTTTGTAGCAATAGTATAGAATAGATCGTCATACATTTATAAAATAGAGATTTTTGTTTTGACAAATCAATTTCACATTTTATTGGGGAAGTTTAGGACCTTCTATTTGTGAGTAATAGGAGCATTTGACATCTAAACCCCATCACGTATTAGCACACAACATGGCTTATAAAATGTCCTACAAATGAAGCAAGGCAGTTTGAACGAATACAAGGATTTATGTTGGCTGATGTACATGCATCCTTTGGATAATTCACTCTCTTGTTGACAGAAACATTGTAGAATATCATTTTATCTACAAGACGATTTCAATAAACTAGAATTTACAAAACTCCCCTATTTTTTAAAAATGGACTGATCCAGCTGACTCGCCATATTGTTTTTGTCCGGGAAACTTGACGTAATCCTTTAAACTTTAACGATCCTGTGGTTCAGTTTTAGTGAAAATTCATCCCCTTGAAATCTCACAATCGATCCTGTCATTTCACCGATGCCCGAACTGTCAAATTATTTATTTTCATATTTAAACCAAATCCATAGTGTTGAGTCCTACTCCACTTATATGCCTTGGTCACATTTTCCCCGATTTTAACTACTGCGCCCGGCCGATTGAGTATTTTGTTCAAAATTGAATACAATATTGAACAAAACACTCAATCGACCGGGCGCTAGCCGATGGATCGGAGCAAATGTGACCCAGGCATTAGAATATAGTTGAGAGAGCACGTGCTCATGATTGTCCATGTGATCATATCTTGCAATTTGATTGGACATCATATAATGGGGGATCCCGAATAAGATAGAATATGAAAGAATTAAGGGAGCTACTCACTTCTTTGGTACGTGTATGTAGTATACGTCAATTATATTTGTCCTAAATAGCGTGTTCTGATTGGCTGGAATTGGACACACCTTGCCTAGCTATGTGTGAATTGGTCAAATAATGGTAGCCTATACACCCAAATGACCGACGGCGCGCTACACTGCTAAATACAACGCCTTTTTACCCAATCCATTTTTGAACACCCTGTAGACCCAACGCCCAACGCCTTTTTACCCAAACCCGACATCTATTCTTGCTTTTATTAAACATCTTAATGCGTCATTCTTAATCGTTTATACAATTAGCTTAAATAATATCACATTACAACAAATCAGCACTTGTCACATCACCTTCACTCTTCCCCGCAGCTGTCATCACACATCAGTACTTGTCACATCACCTTCACTCTTCCCTGCAGCTGTCATCACACATCTTCGACTTTAAGGGCGTTGAATAGAGTTTCTGACGCTATTTAATTATATCAAAATGTTGTTTTATCATTCTTCCAGCAAAACACCAACAGGGCTATACCCAATGCCATATTTGGTGCTCTGGCATTAGTGGCAGGTGTACTGGTACTCCTTCTGCCTGAGACAAGAGATAGAGATCTACCAGAGACGATAGATGATGCTGAGAACTTTGCAAAGTTTAAAACTGATTACGAAATTGAAAAACACCGAAGTGAAAATAATGAAGCTGGTCTACCATTACAAGCAGTCACAATCTGAATGATTATGAATCGATACATAAAAACTAATCCTGAATATATGAAACGAAACCTATACTTACTAAGATTCCCCTATCTAATTAAATAGTTTGGTTTAGTTCTTTAATTCCACGCTAGCCATTGATAGCAAAAACTCAGGTGATCACGTCGTTTAGTGTTTAGTATGCGCATATTTTAACCACGAGACAGTCTTGAAAACTTTACACAATGACATTTAAAGATGTACGATGTTAATTCATCAACAGAAGAAAATATCAAAGTGTGCAACAGATTGTCTTGGTCTTGGAATGAATATTTCGCAGCCAAGTTATTTTTCTTTAAGTATGAGCTTTCCTGATGGCGGCGGGTAAAATATACATATTTACATCATGTTATCGTATCACTTTGAGGAGAAAAATAAAACATATTTTCACTAATTTTCAGTCGTCGATGTTACTGCTGGCTATCATCATATTTTCTAATGGTGAGAATCAAAATCATTTTCCATGGCAATTTGGACTTGATATATATAGGTTATTTACTGGGAGGGATTGAATATGGGTTTTATTCCGAGGGACAATATGATATTGACCGAAGGGTAATATGGTATTGACCGAGGGAGCGCAGCTCGATCCGTTTCGGTAACAAAATGTCGGAGCCTCGAAGTTACGATTTTTCTTTTTTCCTTATTTCACGAGTTGTAGGCAGAATTCGCACAACTAAACATTTTCATCACTAACGTATGCCATTATCATATAAGAAAATCTACACGTTTGCGAAGAAATAGTTCAGAAGACAACAGAATGCGTTTTTGAATTCTGTCATCCCACGAACTATTTTGTGTGAAATCACTTGAATTTCCAGAGACATATTTGTGCCGAAAGATTTGGATGGTTAATGCATCTCGAGATAATCAAGGAAAATGAAAAATCTTACCGAACTTTCCGACCGGAAGCGTAGCCATCTTGTTACCTTGGAATCTGATGCTGGAATCTCTGCCAAAAATCATATTATTTTGTCATGGACTAGGGTTCTGATGAATGAGATATCATCATATTTTGCCTCATTATGCTATTAGGGAAACAGAAGCTAAGCAATCTACCTCCTTAAGTAGGATCATTAAGGACCTAAAACTATAGTTCATCTTTGGATCCCTCGGTTAAACTCTCGATGAGATTGTCATCATGCAGCTATTAAAGCAACAGGGTCCAGCGATATTACGAATGAGAACCCCATTTGCTGTCATTTGAAGATTAGATCAACAGATAAGATCGATAATTGAGTCAAAAGTTGACCATCACTCGGCAGTTGGTGCCCATTGAAATTCTCAGCAATGGGCAATAAAATTTATTCAAATGCTAATTGGGTCATTATTTCAGCTGACGCAGACGGTACCGTCAGATATAACGAATGCACCTTTCGCTCTTGAAAGTTCGGACCTTCATGCACTATACATATACTTATCTAGGAATTTCTACATCACGAAATACACGTTTTCGAACGGAAATCTTCAAGGAGGATCGCTACCTCAAAGCATGACTGACTACATGCGAATGCCAGCCACTTTCAATAGCTTTGGGAATTGAAATTTTGTGATTTTCTTACACGGGAAACTAAATACTGGCCATTCTAGGAAAGTAAGCGGACAAAACCAGGGTGAGTTGATTTATTAAAGGCAGAATCAGATCTATGGGGTGACAAAATTACAAGCAACATGTACAATTGACCTACCAATCTGGCCTAACAATGTCAAATAAAATTAAGATTCACGATATTTTATACATTGGTGAAGTTATTATGAATTCAAAGTTCAAAAATGGATGAAATATGTTTAAATTCTCCCAAGAAATAAGAATGGTAACCATTTTTTATATAAAAATAATACATTATTGCAAAAATCGTTAGTTTTCCCGAAATAAAGTGTGCACTTTTTGGATTTTTAGAAAATAGACATGAAAAGGTTTTGTTAGGCTGCTCGCTAGATCTGATTCTCTCTTTAAATTGACGGTTGTTAATCTGAGAATCTGGGCAAAACTTCGTTTCACTATCCGCCTTCTTGAGAAAGGTTTCTGGGAAACTTACTCTCTTGAAATTAAGCATCGATAAGTTGGACATTAACACTCAGATCAAAATTCAATTTTTTTCTTCTTAAAGCCCGGGAAATTTCCAGTCTCTGAAACCTTTTATTGGAATTATTTATCCGTCAGCGATTGTTTGTATTTTGTATTTTTGTGTTTGTTAAAAAATAAATATTTATCAGGAATATTGGCTAGGGGGGGGGGGGGGGGGGGTTGGCCCACCCTGTAGTTTCCAACAGGTAGTGATTATTTCGGCTCTTAGGCCAACATATTAAGGAATATACGAAATTTTATATAATTGATATAAATATCTCAAAAGTGAAAATAAATTGAACACGGTCTCAAAAGTGATTCGAGTTGTATCCGGTCTCGACAAGGAAAAGATCAATACCAGAAAGGGAAGTGGCGTTTCGTTTAGTGGATGAGCTGCGCGCGCACGCATAAATGTGATTATCCAATATAATTAGGGGAGGGCTATTTGAAATAGTTTTTGGTCTCAGGCGCGACCCAGGGCTGTTGTCTTAAGGACATTTCGTTGAAAATGAGCCATTCGGCTGATAATTGGTAAGAGTTTGCGATCTTATAATGTATAACTGTTACTCAGACACATATTTTGACACGATTCTGTTGGAAATAAGCTTTGAACCGAGAGATATTCACGATTGATATGCACATTTTTGATTGTGCCATTGCTTTTCCATTGCACAATCCATGTATTGATAGAAGAAACATTAATAATGCAGATTGGTTTACCTTCAATACATGGCAGACACTACATATCGGTCTATTAATACCAGTTTGTGCCTTAAATAGTTTTATATTTCCATCCACGGCCTGGAGCCTGGGTGTGTTTGTCTCTTATGTGTATGCTTGTGCATGGACTTCTAATCACTAGCAGAATTTAACATGATGCAAACTCGACATTATAACTCATGCTGTAACATTTTGACTTCGCTGGAAAACAATAGGAATTATTTTTCTCGCCAATCAATCATGAATCACAATCAAAATTTCAGAATGATCAATCAGGCAATTCTCCAAATCAAGTTATAACATTATATGATATTCAGCAAGAAGTCTGGTAGAAATACAGAATATTTAAACATCAAAGCTGAAAGTTAAAAGCTAATCTGTCAATGTTCTGTCTGCAAAAGAGCGTTTACATTTGACACAATAACAGACTGAGGCTTTGAAATCTAGGATTCCCCAGGAAAATATGACGTCATACTAATTAGCATAAGGATTTCCCTATTGGTTTGGGTCCAGCCTTGTTCGAAAACACAATCCATAAATACATGCTAATTTCTAAGGAGATAGGAAGTGTATAGCGTGTTTATCGATTTTGTTTAAAGATTTAATCAATTAACAAATTGTTTAAGTGGATAAAGTGGTCACACTTGCTTCAATTCATAGCGTAATCGACGGATAGAAACTGACCGAATTCCCGATATCCTACCCCGTATTACTGTAGGCTATAAGCACAGTGACATACAGAGGGCGCTATCACAAACAAGTACTGCACGAACCGATAAATTCCCGGGTATTGTAACGCCCTTGGTCTCGATGGATACTATACTTAGCAAAAATTAAAGTCAATGACCCATAACATATTTATAATCATTTTCTGAGCGTTCATATACCCCTTTAACAATAAAAAAGATTTATGGAATATGTAAAAGACATTTTTAATATAGACCGTCAGTGGGAGTCTACCTTTAATTACACATATAACATTTTTATTTTCAAATTAAGGGTTCTTTTAAGGTAAAACCAATTACCAGAGATCATTAAACTCAATTTCCAACGAAATTCAACGATTATAGGGTGAGTTTTGAATATAAGACTACTCGATTTTGACCCATCTTGCTTCATCAAGCTTCGGACCTATCCTCAGAACGTAGTGATTGAGCGTGGGAACCTACGATGATTTTGACCATGCAGTGCGACAATATATCAGCCGACGCCTCTACAGAGGTCACTATGATAATGTAGAAAAGGGCTTTCCAATGGTATCAAACATTTAAAGTGACCATTGCCATTGCACTCCAGGGTGTTCGAATGCTGTATGGCACAACCCTACTTGTAAACCTTAAAGGAATATTCCTTGCCAAACCATCTCTCTCCTCATATGGTAGCTATAACCATATATATGCTTGCCATGTTTAGCAAAACACGCAAAAATGTTTTGATATGGTCAAATTTGATCACTTAGAAATGTGATGCTCAATTCCAGTAAGCTGCCATCTTTTAAAATTTCACACAGGAAGTGATGTCATCGACTCTCAACTTTGCATATAGCATTAGGTGAGGAGCTATTAAGAATTACAAAACCAGCTAAATATTCTTTTTCAACTTTGTATCTTATTTAATCCTTCTGAAAATCTCTTCTTTTATTCTAAGTTGACAAGCCCTGAAAATATTTTTGAACAGAAAGTAATCATCACTTGTCTAGAAGTGATTTTGTGCTACTTTCCTATACTGTTTTGGGCAAGGTTATAGAAGTTGAGAGTTGATGACATCACTTCCTGCAAGAAATCTTAAAAGATGGCAGCTCACTGGAAATAAGCACTAGATTTTTAAATGATCAATATTGACCATATTAAAACATTTTCCCATGTTTTGCTAAATATGGAAACTATATATGATTATAGCTACCATATCAAGAGAGAAAGGGTCTGGCAAGGAATATTCCTTTAAATGCCTTTGTAAACTCCAACGTTCGCTCTCAATTCAGCATTTAAGCCTCAGTCACATTTTCTCTACGGCGTCCATATGGCGGCCGTAGCTCCACAAAATTGATATAGAAAATCTACATCGTACTGGTCATCCCTATATTTTATACTGCATATTACTCTCGAATTTGGGAAGCTACGGCCGCCGTACGTTGCCGTAGATCAAATGCGACCGAGTGGGATACTTTTAATCGGACTGGTGTTAGTCCACCACATTTTACAGTATAATAGCTAGAAGATTTATAGCGTTACTTGTGGAATTTTATTCTAAACAGTCATCTTTGAACGACTTTAAACAACATTTTCCGTCACCAATTTTCCCGACATGAAAAGTAAAATTGACTTAACGGTCCGAGTCAGAAATTTCGATTCAAGTACTATTGAACCTCGACTTTACAATGGAAACTTCCCTTTTCACATTCGACTGGCCTGTTAAGGGCAATGTGCATGTCTACAATAAAAGTTATAACAGTTTTTAAATGGTGAACCCTACCTCATAAATGTCGGTAGAATGCCCCTGGGGCTATTACACATTTTGTCCTCATTTATATATCTTACCCGTTCATTCCTTTGAAACCAACAAGAATCTAGTACCCTACGTGACAGAGCCTTGCACCAATGTAGGTAAAGCTCTTTAGCAAAATGAAAATATTGGAAAGGAAGAGGACCGAGCCAAGAAAGGAATAATTCATTAAGAGAAAAATAAGAACGTAAATTAAGAACATAACAAATCGTTAGCTATTATGTACATTATCTTGTGGAGCACATAATTATCATTTAAGGCTAATTTCAACTTTTTTATACAGTGCTCAGTGTCCTTATCCAGACCATATACGTAATCATCTGATAACAGTTTGTGAATCAAGTATATCTACCTTTCAAGTGCCATTAAACTGTAAAGAAATATTCGCTTTTTCCAAAACTTTTTTTCCAAAATCCAAATGCAAAATTAATATCAATGTCGGGAAAGACATGGCCACGAGACTGTTTCTTTAATTTCATTGGTTTGAATCTGGCGGTTTGTTATCTTTTAACATTGTATCACTTTGACCTATATTTTTCCGAAGTTATGACCTAGCTAATAATGAAATAAGAAACAATTGGGTTAACAACATTCTGATAACATTTTTTGGAAAACTCATTGCATAAGCGACTGCATGGTAACTTTTCCAAGCGACGCAGCAGCGACTGCGACCGAAAACTTGTAAACTTGTTCGCACGGACATCGCATTCATTAGCTACATAAATGGATGAGAATTCAGAATTAATCAATTCTACTGATCATAAAATTTACTGTGCTATTAAAAGTCATGCCAATTTAGATTCACCTTAATTTGGAAACATTACTTTTGAGCCCCTAAAAGTGTCTTGTTTTACTATCTCATTTGACACGCCCCATTAATGATGAAGATCGCAAGGAGGTCGCAGCTTCTTTTATCTTCATGTTTTCGCACACACAGGTAGGGATACGTTAAGATTTTTACAGTTTCAAATAAGATTATTTCGGATTATTTCAGACTTTGTTTTTGTCAGAGCTATGGAAATTAAACTTAAATTTTGTTAAATTTGATAGATGCGTTTGTGAATTATTATGCAAAATTAACCCCCTGCTGAGACTGAGGTACAATACCACTTACTTGGCCTTTTGTTTACTCATCGTATCTAGGGAAAGTATTCCATTTTGAAGAATGTTTGGGTGTTGGATGGTGTATAAATGGGACATATTAGGATGCAATGTACCTCTTTGCTGGTAATAAGTGAGCACAGACTCTAGGCATTAGATAAAAGCAGAAAACTGAATTATTTTTTGGTAGATATTGATGAGATGGGGGGGTTGGCTGTTGGCTGGGTCATGTTAATTTTCCACTTCCATGTTAAAAATCGCTACGCGCGTGAACAATCCAGCGGTTCTTTTGATTTTCGTGGGATATTTTTTCAAGACTTTTTCTGAGGTAAGTTTAAGGAAATCTGTCTAATTGTCTTTTAATATGAGTGAAATCAATGGGCTAGGATTTTTTATTTTATTCTCAAACTTTGTCAATTCACCATGTAATCCTATGGCAGGAAAGAAGGTTGTTTCAGTTCTACCTGAGAGTCAAAATAAGTATCCTAACAAAAACAAGTCGTTATCATGAAAAGAAAACAAGTGGCAATATGTACGAAGGAACTTATATAATCATAGTTTTTTCTTTTCAGAGCAAAATTTTAGGTCAAGTGAAACGATTGTCATGTGACGCTTGAAATTTGCCGCAAATTGTATATATTTGGAACAAGTTACATTTACCTTAATTATCAAGAATTCTGGAAAAAAGCCTCAAAATCAGAGTTTCGCTGGTAATATGGGATCTAGTTTACGAAGATAAACTGGTTAACTAAACATCGGTAAATTAAAACAAAATGATCATGATGATAAGAGAACTCATTGATAGTGGCGAAAGTCCAAGAATGGCATAAATGATATAGATTTTACGTTTTATAGATTGAGGACTATTATTGTTGTCAATATAGTTACATGTGTAGATGACCTAGATAATTGATACATGAGTACATTTATTGCTATATATACGTCACCCTACTACACCAGAGTGTACAGGTACATTGTACATAGTCGACTCGTACGCTTACACATTTGCACACGCGCAACGTCCAGCGTCTGAAGTCCAGACAGAGAATCCAAAATTCAAACAAAAACACATGTTATGACTTTCAAGTGTTTTAATAAAATATGAACAATTATTTACATTGGTTGTGATTAAATATCTAAGATAAAGATTATCAAACTCACGAATGAACGTAAGTACTAAAAATCAACAACTTATCTCAGTAACTTACATAAACTTACAGGGAAAACATAAAACTGAGTCACTGACTGCCAAGCAAGCATTTTCGGAAAGAAATGGCGAATTATTTTTGCTCACACAATCCAAAATTCTATCAGGTAAATGGTAGCAAGAGCAAAACACAGGTCTTCAAAACGTTGGATAGATAAGCCCATGACATTTCTGTGTAGGTACATATATATTCAGATAGTATTGTTATCTGTTAACAGGGCCTTTCAGCAACAAAACATAAACAGTTTGAAAGCCACAGGGCAAGAACATTGTAAGGATATTCAAAGATGGGTGTACCAGTAAAAACCATGGATTTCGACCAACTCATCAAGAAATACATCGGAGAAATGGGACTTTATCAAGCATGGGTACTATTCTTGATGGGTTCCTTGGGCGTAGGGATATGTTACGCTAATGTAAGTATCGTGTTCTTAGCAGCTGTTCCCGTTCACAGCTGTCTCATTCCCGAACTCACATCTGCAAATCTCTCCCGTGATGTCATAAATCGTGTCGGTGTCCCTCTGACGGAGGAAGGAGACTATGCAACATGTCAAAAATATGACAGGAATTATACATATGTATCCAAGGAATTGCTGAAACAATGGATGAATGAAACAAGGAACGGCACAGAAATTAAGACAGTACCATGTGAAGCTTTCTACTACGATACTTCACAATATACATCAAGCATCGTCTCCCAGGTAATGTATGAAGGCCTTTTTCCCTTAGTTTATCTTCTTCTCAATGGCTCAAATATATTCTTCAAGTAACACCAAGTCTGCAAAAACACTTTTTTGCTCACATATACCAAATATTACCTGGTACGCCTATTTTCCAGGGGTGGTGCACCAACTGGCTAGCAAGAATGGCAGTTAAACAAAAATGATAAAAAACCCATATACAAACTATGTTTTGGGGATTTAAAATGCTAATGTTAGTAGGCTAGTTATTATTGTATGGCCCGACGTTTCTTTTGCAAGACAATTAACGTATCCGGAGAATGGGGAGTTGGATTCCGGATCATCAATACAATTTCGCGCAAATGAACTGCGAGGAGAATGGCCGATATTCTATCGACCTTGACCGACATCAACCAATTGAAAATGTCGTTATTGTCTGACTGACAGGCTATAAATTCATAATCAGCGGTCCATAGATTTAAATTAATATCTTAGTCACTATAATTGGTGTGCTTTGTTTTTTGTTTGGAAATAACACCAAATCTCCTCCTCTCGATCTGGCATTTCGTTTATAAATTACCATGATTTTGGTGACCACGGTTGTTTTAACACCTTGTTTCAATAAGTACATTTTAAACATTACGTTCGAGCTAGGGCGATTGGGCGCCGTAACCACGAGGTTGCGAGTTCGAAACGCGTGTGCTCCTTGTGTTTATTCATTTGATAAGTCATTCTCTACAAAGATATTTTAGTAAAAGTGATATTGGTCATGTTGCAATGTACTATATTTGGAACGTCCGCGTCTTCTTGCATTTTCACACATCTCTTACTCTATTTAATTAAAAAATCGTTAAAACAAGTTTAATATTGCATACATGATTCAATTACTACATATATTTGTAAAGGAAACACGGAGAACAATTTTAAAAGCTTGGATAATTTTGTATTAGTGAATCACTGTAAAATGACTTTTTGTTTGTTCAGATAGAAACAAATGAATACTGTTACATAGTCCTAGTCAAACGTTGAAATTAATATTGGGATCAAAATAATCAGTATATACAATTGCAACAAGTTATCAGTAAGTAAATGAGAAGATACTAGTATTGTTTTTAAAATGTCAGAATCTGTATTTTTGTAAAGCTGGTTCTAGATGTACTCATCAAATTATAGTATTATAAAGCTAACGATCTCGGGTCACAAATGATTTATTGGTATTGGAACACTCAATTCAATTCTGTTGTCCTAATTTATCAGATATCTAGGCAATATACATGTTCAGTTTAAATCCAAGACAATAATAAATTACTGAAACCATTGACTATTTACTACATAAGTGCCTAAAAGACCAAATAGCTTCTTACGAGGGTTGTCCCATAAGTCTTGAAATATTTATTCTAAATCATAAAATCTTTGAGTTACAATGATAAAAATTTCACATTTTGTAACTGAGATATATTTCTACCATCTCTGTAATTTTCATAATTTGGCAATGTTACAGATGTTTTAAAATGGAATGTCGGTGGTATCCGGGGCAGAAAACTGGATCGATAAATATACAAACTATGACGTAAAAAAGGATTTGGAAGCACATCCCAAGTTGTATTTTATTTTTTTCTGCTCCGATCCTCTGTCAGAATATGTGGGATTAATCTAGGGGCTACCTTTGACACCTCAAGGTCTTTCTTCATCACTCTGTGAGCAGTACTCTTACTAATATCAAAGTCTACACTGTATGGCTATCTTCCTTATGGCTGTTCTCCTTTCAGCCCTTATACTCTCTGCAATATGTGGTATGAGTGTTCGTCACTGGATTTTGGCCTTCCACTTCTCAGAGCATCCTAGGCTGGTATCTCCAGTTTTTAACTTCTTCTACCACCTCCATATTGTAGGTGCACTCGGAGTATACTGTCTATATACTTTTTCCATGGCTGTTCTTGTTAGCTAGTGTTGGTGTGTGCCCTAAGGAGGCGGGGTATTGCACAACTGCACGCAAAGATTTTTGACAAAATCCCTGCTATTTTGGCTTTCAAAATGCTGTGTCTCTGTACCAAAATTGAGCAATTATGCTAATTTATTATGAAATCACAGAGGTATTTCCCAAGATTCTACCAAGTAAAGAGTGTTTTTGTCAATATTGACAGGTTCTTCACAATTTAAGATGCATAGCATCCTTTAAAATCCATAATACTCCCATGGTTCCATTTTACACTTTTACTATATTTCATTACTGCCCCACCCCCCGCCTCCTCCGGTTACCATAGCAACCAAAATAAGTTAATAATTTTGTTATGAAACTATCACATGTTGAAGATAATTGATTGATCTTGATACATACCAATTTTCAGCCAAATCCATTGAAACAGTTTTGAATTAGAATAAAAATTTCAAGACAATTGGTAAGATAATCTGGAGAACCTATGGCACCATCAAGTGATCCACAACCCGTCTTACAAGCTTTCGAAAATCCTGACAAAAATGATTATTATAAAACTTTGAAGGTGGCATATCAAACGAATTGGAAAAAATATTTGCAAAATGCAATTTCCTCAATGTTAATGAATGAAGCTGAATAATCCAGAACTCTCGTGAATGTACAAACAAACCTCCTGCCAGAGTATATGTCTCTGCTCCTACCAATCCTGCAACATAGTCCTCTTGTATTTTAGGCGAGTAGAACCAATGGCCAAATGTGCCAGGAAAGTACTTTTTAAAATACATCATGGGGAAAAGGACAAATGAGGTACCGTTGTAAAGCTAAGGACTTCGGCTTTTCAAATCTACCTGTACCTAAGTTTGAATTTGGGGCAAAAATTGCAAAAACATCCGTTTCCATAGCAACCATTTAAAATATAATCAATAAATCAGAAATCACCTTTCGGATCGTAGAACGCCTGTTATCTGTCCAATTCTAATGATACATATATCAAAATGAAGCTATTGATGTCCCCTTGTTTATAAACAAGAAAATATTCAAATTAGCTAATTTGCATATCTATTATGACATCATAAGTAGATTTTTTTACCGAATTTGAGATATTTTGGAGATTTATCTGATATAATAATGAAGCATTATTTATAATTGAAAATCATTGTTAGATATTGAACAAATATTTCACTCTATTGAGGTGAATACCTGTTCATCTTTCACAAGTGATATTCCACGAAGCCCGAAGGGCAAGTCATGGCCGTAGGGACCGGGGGTTCGGTGGGTTCGGACGAACCCCTGGTCAGGGTTTCCCAAAAAATATTTGTGGAAAACCAGAAACATTAAATTAAATTCATATGACCAGTAAATAAAAACATAATTAAGTTGTACAATTCTCTCCAAAAGTTTGGCAACCTTAGGCAAGGATTGGGATTGTCTAATTTTGAGAAGACCCCGGATCATCATGACATTATGCAAAGAAATAACATTAATTTCGCACAACTTAAAAGCTGGTTAATATCCGGTGAAATAAACCAAATGTCTTAAATACTAACAAATTGATTTACTCTTTAAATCTTTTTCAAAAAATGATTAATTTAACATAAAATTTGTTAGTTTTTATTTTAACATAAAAACAACTACTTATTGTCTTACTACTGATGAAAACACATTTTCTTACAAATCTTTGCGCCTTCGTTTTGTTTTATTTCAAACAAAAAAATCTTGCCCGGAGCTTATTAGTCCCCAGGAGCAAATATCAAATAATAGAAACTTTTTGAAATGAGTTAGTATGAAAAGCACACATGTACTTATCATTTATATTTAGCATTTGAATGGGTATAGCATTTATTATCCATCACTTCGATTTCTTTTGTGATGTGACTGCCATACTTAGGCCATAGCCAAGATTTCTCAAAAGAGTTCTACTTTTGCTGAATTTCAAAGGACATTTGTAGCGCGCGTGCCCCCTAATTCACGTGTACACCTCCATATACAAGTTGACCCAGAAAATTACCCTCTCATTTTAGTATAAACTCAAACATGATTTTTTAATTTATCTGCGTATATAGACTGTTTAAATTCCAAGTTTTAAAATGATCACATTTTCCATCCAGGTATGGTCTAGTGATATTGTCCAAAAATGTCAACGATCTCGTCAAATATGATGCACTGATTGCTTATTAGGTAAATTCCAATGATTTATGCATTTAACTCTCTATCTACACAAAAAATCATGAAAAGTCCTTTAAAACGGAGATATAGTTATTCCCAAATTAAGGAGTGACGTTTTTGAGGTCACCTGTACTTGGACTTGAATTTGAATTTTGAATTTTATATTTTCAATTCAAATAAAGAACAAATGGGTATTTTTAACACTATAGTAGGTGTATTTTGTTGTAAGGCATTGCAATTTGAAAGAGGTTTAATTTTAGAGCCAACGGAGTACAATAGATATCGTGTTATTTCAATTTGGTTTTTTTTTCCATTTCTCATTTATTCCATATATAATTTATAAAAATACAATACAATATTATTGCCTACGTTTTTCAACATTGTCGGCAATATACAAAACATGTCAAACTGGAAATAATGGAAATACAATAGATTTGGTCCGCAATATGGATGGTGAAAAATGTTAGAGGCCTTTGGGGGGATTAATCTAAACAGATGTAATGGCCAGTTTCAATTTGGTCAGTTTGGAATTTCAGCCTATGTTTCATTTTTTACAAAACTAATTATCAACTGCCACTTCTATCGTCAAAGAGTATTCACGTAGCTATAAGGACTTTTTAGTACGCCTATTAATTATTCTTCAATTCAGTAACTAAATGTAAGGTCATTATGAATGAACACTCCTCTATTATAAAATTATATACCAAATAAAATATTTTGATTTGGAGCTTTTTAGAAAAATCATAATCTCAGTATTAAATTGTGGGAATTGCATGTTTTAGAATTTGACATCTTTGTGTGAACTTGGCATCGTCGGTTCCCACGCTCAATCACTACGTTCTATCCCGAGGTGAGGATAGGTCCGAAGCTTGATGAAGCAAGATGTGAAATTGTGTGAACTCTTTTTTTATTACAATCA